GTCATCGTTCTAATCGTTCTAGTCGTTCAGTGATCTTTTCCAGATGCGATTCAATATTCATAGCAGATTTTAGTTTGATTGTTTGATCCAACAGAGCTTGTATTTGGGTTTCATTCAGTATTCTAGCCGGGTTCTTCGGTGAGAGAGCTTCATTCAGGAACTTCGTTATCTCGCCGAGTATTTTTAGCGGTGAATCCGTTGTTTGTGGTTCATGCGAAACTTGTCCGGTTGGTAGAGGAGGGGGATCGGGAATGGGAGGGGGGGGCATGGGATTGAGAGATTTGTTGCCTGTGGATTGGTTGAAGATTCGAGAGTAATCCATTTACCAAAAAAGGTGACTTTGTGGTTCCGAGAAGCTCTTTGACGGCCTAGGGTTGACGGCGCCATAGGGTAGGGCGCGCCAAAGTGCGCCCGCCCCCCCCCTGCGCGCACCCGTGTCCCCAAAGATCATGAAAATGAGTCGGCGCACCTGAGAGCATCTCCACTGCGGGTTGCTACACCCCCAGTGCAGATGGACGTCCAAGTGGCAGGGTCCGTGGGGCTGGCACCAGGACAGCAGCCCCCACAGATCAGAGCATCCCAGGCGCGTGCTCCTCCCCAAATAAAAGGCCAGACCTGGGACGTCCTTATGGGGCATCCATGTGACGTCCCCCCAAAGCATCCTATGGATGGCCAGGAGGTATTCCAGGGCCGTCTCCTGAAAAATGGTACATCCAGAGGTGCATTCAACCTGGCGTCTCTGAGCTGTCAACCAGACGGCATTGGTGTATTTTTTTGGCAAAAAAAATGTCCTTCTTGAGGTAATTGTGCAGCACATACACTTGCACACCCACCAGCAAGCTCAAGGATACTCACTGCACAAGAATCACAAACCAATGTGCAGACATTGAATCAAATAGTGAAATGTTATGTATTGTGAATAGCACACTGGAACATATGATTGGTCATTTACAACAACAATCTGATTGAGAACTGGAAGTGGTGGCAGGTGGGCTACAATGTGTATGAAAACACCTGTCAATATCAGGTACACGGAGAATGGAGAGACCAAATATTCTCACCTGGTCTGGGTCGAGAGGTCACACGGACGGGCGGGGCAGCGAAAGTGGTAGAAGCGCCCCTTTCAGGGTGAGCTGGTAGTCGGCCACCATTTCCGAGGGTACGACGGACCTTCAGCCTGATTACTCCAGTCTGAGATTCTCAATTGGATGACTGTGTTGTCACACAAGTGCGGGGGCCAGGCGTGTCCAGGGCGGGCAAGGGAGATTGGTTGCTGCCTCAACACTCGCTTTTGGAGTCTGAGGAGACTAATACAGACATGTTGAAAGAGAAGTTGATCCGGGGTCTAAGGATTTTTGAAGTCGGTCCACGGCAGCCGATTACTGGCTCCAGAAGGCTTCCAGGTTGAACAATCAAATATCTGGGTCGTTGTTTACCCCGGCTACTTGGACCAAACGCAAGCAAAATATCAAGAGTAAAAGATGAATAAAGGCACACACAACCTACAGGCAAGAGAAAAAGAAAAGCCAAACGAACCCGAGTTAGCAATCAGTCTGGATTGCCATGCTCAATCGTGATTGTTGAGTATTGTACAGCCTGGCAGTTCTTCTGAGCAATTTGCAAACACAAAAAATAAGGTCAAAGGAGTCAGGACTGTTGAGATTTAGAAACAAATTTTGAAGGCCAGAAAATCAATACTATTGAAGATGATGAGAGTTTGATAAACTCTGAAATTTCAAGTGTTGATTTGGTGGCGGGAAGAGGTGGAGAGAATCCAGGACAGGTGGGACTTCATCCGCTGTCCTTAATCTAAATTGTTAATGTCAACTGCGCGAACATTCCCAATGGGGTTGGTTTTCACTGATCCTCCCTTCTCAACCAGCAAGATTCTGCCAATTGCTCAACGGGCTTTTGCCCGGTTGGCCAAGGGGGATATCCATTGAAACCATGGGTGAAATTAAGTCACCCATGGTTGAGTCTTAACAAGCACAAAATCTGACCTCCCAACCCAATCACCATCACTCACAAGCATGGCAATGCTTGTGAGCGAGGGTGCTTGGGTGGGAGGCCTTTATTCATCATCGGATTCTTTGTAAAACAAACTACGACACAGATTCTCCTGAAGATGAATCAGAATTGTTATCCAAGGATAGTGCACCGCCGTCCGCACAACACCCACCAAAATTGGCCAGCGAGGAGAGCTTGAGTTCGGATTCTGAAGATTCATCAACCAGCTGTTCTGATGCTACCTCGCCCAAGAACCCGCCTCCCCCGCAACCTTCATCGATCCCCCCAAATCGAGATGGAAGGGCTGGGCTCTACCGAAAAGGGCTAGTGGCGGGCAGAAGAAAAACATTGTACGTCTTCCGGCCGTTGGATTTCAGTTCAAAACCCACATCAATTGGCCATTTTCCTCTCTCAACAGACCTGACCAAGCAAGCAGGCCATTCCAATAAAGACTCAAGCAGTTCTAGTGATGAGGATGGTTCGGAGAGTGATTTGAGCAGGACGGATGGCAAGCCTTTGAATACTAAGAAGAAGAAAGCCGAAAATCAAACACTTGACTTGCCTGCCCACAAACTTGCCGGAAGCGCTGCTTTTTCTAAACCCACTTTTTTACCTCCTCTGACTTATTAGTCTTCCAGAACCTTAGATGGGCAATAGTTCCTTATCCATTTTCTTGTCTTCCTTGTCTCTCTGGATCATTACTACATTTCTTTTCCTGCTTCAGCTTGGTATTACTTCTCACCCAATAATACCCATACACATGATCACATATCTCTTTGAATAAGTAAAATAAAAAATTCAAAGGCTCTGTTGGACTGATTCAATAGGCACATGTATGGCTTGATTACCATTTCTTGAGATAGACTTGGGGAAACATCCCTCAATCATGAGCAGAGTTGAATGATCCAAGAACCTTGTAACTTGTGGGCTATAAAGAATGTATAAATGTCAAAACACAGAGTGAATGAGAAATATCAGCTCTACATATAAGGTTGACATTCATTACTTTTTATTTCTCTCTCATTTGTCAAAAAAAAGAATGATTAAAATGACAATCATGTGGACTGTGAAACAATTGCAGGAGGGGCTAAATACAGCTCATCATGCCACCAGTCCAAAAAACATAAATTTGTATTGCTCACTTTGTTACAAAAAAAACATAAATTATTTTGGTTCTTAGTTTTTTTCCATCTGCAATCAGCTATCCCTCTGAATTGTTCCCTTTTTTCAGTTATGCAGCCCATTTTGAAAGTCTACATACATAATCAATTCAAGCCTGTAGAGAAGTCATTTCCCTCTGGAGCGGGAAATAGCAGGCCAAAAAACTCCTGTGGTTAGTGTTACCCATTAAAACTGTTTGCAAACAGTCCATCAGTTCAAAAGTCAATGGGTTACAACAATGAAAATCTGGACCATTCAATTCCCTTCAAACCAACCATAGGGGGGGGGGCACAGAATTTCTAAGGCCAAAAACGTGACGATTCCTGCTGACCTGGCCACTCAACTTCCAGGTCATACATTCAAGCAATTGTCCGGCATCCACATTATCTCACTTGCTTTTGGGGACCCAAACTGGCCCACCTGTGGGGCCAGGGCTTGTTGATACTGGCCTGGTGTGGCTTATTTAGGGCCTGTATGTAGCATGAAAATTCAATTGGTCATAATTTTCTAGGTTTTATCTTCCTGATCAAATTCTCATATAATCAGAAGTGACCATTGCCAAAGGCCAGGTATAAGCTCAAAAAAGAAGAATTACAACACCAGATCTCTTGCCTTGTTTTATAATTTTTTGTATAATACAGAAAAAAATGATCATTTTTGAAAATTCAATCCTGTGGTACAAGCCTTTATTTTATTCTGCTTGCATTTGTGGCTAAAGTTGTACGAGTGAATGATACTTTGCTCAATTTTTCTAATTTATGGGCCCTCATGGCGATGACTGTTGTCCCCCTGTCAAGTGGTGAAGCTGGTTGGGCTTCTGGATGGCATGGTAATGTCACAAGGAGACTCAGATGCCATGGACTCCAAGTGGGAATGGCTAAATGACAGCCAAGTCAGTGTGGGACATGATACAGGCGTGTGAACCCCGCATCCTTAGGTTTCACAAATCAAGCTTACATAATCATAAACAATACTTAATCCTCAATCGCCCCGCACCCCATCTAGCTCAGTAGAGACCCGACTTCATTTATTCTACTACTGAGCTAGGTAAGCCATCTCACATTCACTTTTTCCCTTATGTTCTTTCATTCTTCTCTTTTCAGTGTTTCTTTTCTATTTCTCGCTTTTCTCCTTTCTTCTTCTCATTATCATTGTACAGTACTGATGAGAGACCCGACTTCATTTATTCTACTACTGAGCTAGCTACAACGCAATAATATCCTTTGGTTCTGGAATTGGTCTCCAGAGCAGACGGTGTGGAACTGCTCAGCAAGTGAGTAAAGAGCTTGGAGGGGATAAAATAGCTAATAAGACTATAGAATAGTAGAATTAGTATCTGTGTGTGGGTGAGACTGCCCTCCTGTCTAGCTTGCGGGAAAGTTACACTAAGAAAAATAAGAGTGTGGCTTATTTCTAAATTTATCTTAGTGTTGATACTACTGTTATTGTTGCTTAAGAATACCTGTTGGAGAGGTAAGGAGTTTGTGGGGTTTTCTGGGTAATAAGGGTTTCTGAAGGGTTTCTCTGTTATAAATTCTCTCTGGTCTCTGGTCTCTCTGGGCTCTGATAAAGGGTATGCTTATTTCTCTGCTATCTGTTGCAAAAGAGTTGAGGATGGCTAAGCAATATCTCTGAATTACTTGTCTAGGGCCAAAATTGAGGAAAGGGGAGTTCAAGGGCTCTAATATTCTCTGGATCTCTTAATAAAAGGGTGATGAAAGCTAAGTAATATCTCTGATTACTATTCTGTAGCTAGCATCTGGTTTTGATGAGTGCTAAGTAATATCTCTAATTACTTCTCTGGTGCAAACATGAGGAGGGAGAAAGCAAAACATGAGCCAGAGGAGCCTCTATTTATAGACAAATGGTTCTGCAGTACATGGGTTTTTGGCCTGAACACAAGTTCGTCTGTGAAGGGTACTTCTAGAGTGGTTTTTACTACTCTGAGATGGCCTAATCTGATATGAATTAATCTCTAAGTGCCTTTCTGATACAAGAGGTTGTAAATCTACTATATGAGGCCTATTCTTAGATTATTTAATATGAGAATGGTATTCTTAGACTAATTAGTATAAGAGTTATTTTCTGGAACTAGTCTGTGAAGCCCTTTCTAATCAGTAGCTTGTTTTACTAGTCTAAGATGAATGTATTATAGTTCTACAGGTTATTTTTATAATTTTTATTCATGGGAAATTGAATATCTTAAGCCCAGTTTGTGAATTAATTAACTACAATTTAGCCCAGCAATATTTATGTGGTTTGTTTCCTAACCTATTCCCTTCCCTCTAGTATTCTAACTACTATGTATATGTAATAAGGTGTTTTTAATTATGGGCTATGGGTTTGATTATTCTCACCACAACGGCTCTGATTCTAGAAGGTGTTCTTCGATTGGTTTTAGTGAAGAGTTAAAAGAACTCTTACACTTTTTTTTTCTTGAACCAATCCAACCACCAAGAAAACCAAACTCAACTTCTTCAATTCCACTTGAAATCGATCGCTTGGTTCATGACCACTCGATCAAATTCTAATTCTAACGATCTTCTTCCACTGACGGACCCCGAAGCCATACTTCGAGCAGGCAACGCGGCGAAACGAAAATCCAAACTAGATTCCCTTGACGCTGCGACTATGAATCCACAACCCCCCGCGAATACATCGGCAGCCGTTCAAGACCCACCACTGAAGGGTGGATCAAATCCAAAGCCTTTGCTTTCCCTCGAAGGCTATCTTGAAGGTCTGATGAAGCTACAGCATCAGAGTATCGATCAAGCAAACATCGACCGAGCTACGGCCCTAGAGCAACGAAAGGCAGATGCCGAACAGCGGAAGGCCGATGCAGCTCGGATTGCTCGTCTAGAGGAGACGATTCAACTATTGACGGTGAAATCCGAGACGACACAACCAACCGCTCGACCTGAATCCGATCGCGTAGACTTATCGCGTTTTCGGGTAACTGATGGGCCCAGCTTCACAGGGCCGTTTCAAGCGGTTGAACAGTTCATCAACTGGATTCGGGGGGTAGAGATCTACTTCTCCACAAAAGGCATAACACATGATGACGATAAGTTACGCATCGTCGGCAATTTCATCCGCGAAACCAACACATCGGCGTTCTACGGCAACAACATCGAGGGGGCCATTGGCAAGCCCTGGATTGATTTTAAGAAAAAACTGTTCTCGTTCGCTCTTCCGACTCTATGGCGCACATCCTTGCGAGCGAACTTCAAGAACCTTCGGATGAAAGGCTCCGAGACGTTTATCGAGTACAGTACACACGCCCGGACCCTTCAAACAATGATGAACTTTGATGAAGAGGAGACCCGAAAGATAACGGATTTTTCCCTTGCTGAATCAATGGTCCTTGGTATGACGGACGAGCTTCAGACCAAGGTGAACAATCACCGACTATTGAGAGAAGAAACCTTTGAGTACAGCGAGTTTGAGAGCTGCGCCGGCATCTTCTGGGACGGTATCGCGAAGAAACGTACCGGCAGACAGCAACAAACGGCTACAACCACCGCTCAACCTCCTTCACAAGCTAATCGACCAAGCCGAGAAGATAACTTATGGCGATTGAATTCCTACCTTGACTCCCTTGGCCTATGTCGCTTCTGCAAGAAAACATGCGGGAGCGCCCCGGGTCGCTGTTCAGGACAAATGGACCGGTCATTTGTGAAGATCCCGGACTCATTCGTTACGCCACCAAGACAGGTAGATTCCAAACCCGTGACAAACCGTCTGGGCCCCGTACCAACGGCTGGAAAGCCAACTCATCCGCCAGCAGGGAGGCCAACAAACCGTGCCGCCACAGTAGCAGGAGTAACAGAGACAGGATTATTTCCAGAGATGGATGCAGCCTCAATCTCAGCACTAGCGGACCTAGACGAGGAGCTTTGTAAGAATCCAGAAGAAAGGTGTGTAGAACCAAGAGGCCATAATCGGTTGATTGTAGATTTATATCTAGGCAACACTCGCTTACGCGGACTGATTGATACAGGGGCGGATCTCAACCTGATGACTGAAGCGGCAGCCAAACTTGCAAAGCTACCCACCAGAGAACTGGAACGACCAACAAATATTAGTCTAGCATTACACTCCGGCAATACAACTCCAGTCATCTTACGACACGCGACCACGGCTACTCTACACGATCCCAAATCTGGACTCAAATTCACAGACATATCATTTAAATTGGGACCAATTGCAGGGCAGTATGATATGATTCTTGGGACACCATTCCTCACTCTATTTTCACTCTCAGTCTCAATCTCTAGTCAGTCTATCCGTTGTGATCACTCAGGCCGAGTTATTTTTGATTATCGACATAAATGCAAAGAAAGCCAAATAGAGCCTGAATCAATACAACCCAAACCAATTGAGTCCCATTGTGAGGATCGTGAGAATAATATTCTCGAAGAATTTCAAGATCTGTTCCCAAAAGACATTCCCGCTATCTCTGAAGAAGCGGAAGCAGAAGGCCTCTTCAAAGATGGGTCGTTCCCGGAGAAACTACAAAATGAGAGTTCAAGAGTCAGACATAAGATAGTACTAACGGACCCAAATGCAAGCTTCAATGAACGACAATATCCGTACCCCCAGAAGCATTTGGTAGCTTGGAGGACACTGTTTGATCAACATCTGACAGCAGGCAGGATCCGTCGTTCATCCAGTCAATATGCATCCCCTAGCTTCATCATTCCCAAGAAGGACCCGACTGCCCTACCCAGATGGATATGCGACTACCGGAGACTGAACAGCTTGACAGTCCGAGATCAATCTCCACTGCCAAACGTCGATGAACTAATCCGTCTTGTCGCATCAGGAAAAATCTTCTCAATACTGGACCAAACAAATGCATTTTTCCAGACAAGAATGAGGGAGGAAGACATTCCGTTGATGGCGGTCAAAACTCCTTGGGGACTAGTCGAATGGTGTGTCATGCCCATGGGTCTTACCAATGCACCGGCAACTCATCAGGCGCGACTTGAAGAAGCATTGGGGGATTTGATCAATGATTGCTGTGTGGTCTATCTGGACGACATCGTAGTTTTTTCCGACTCCATTGAGGAACATGAACACCAATTGAGACGGGTATTAGAAAGGCTTAGAGCGGCAAATCTATATTGCAGCAAGAAAAAGACACAACTATTTCGGTACAAGATCAAATTCCTTGGACACTGGATAACGGCGGACGGATTCATGGCAGACGATGAGAAGATCTCAAAAATATTAGACTGGCCAACCCCTCGATCACCCAAAGGAGTTAAGAAGTTTTTGGGCACCGTCCAGTGGATGAAGAAATTTATCTGGGGCCTACAGAAGTATGTTGGTACTCTCACACCGCTCACTAGTACTAAACTTGATCCAAAGAAGTTTAAATGGGGTGAGGCAGAAGAGATGGCTTTTCAGAACATCAAGCAAATCATGACGTCTCTCCCATGTCTGAAGAACATTGATTACGATTCGGAGGACACACTGTGGCTGTTCACTGACGCGAGCGGATCTGGACTGGGTGCGGCACTGTTTCAAGGTAAAGACTGGAAAGGAGCATCACCAATAGCTTATGAATCTCACCTCATGTCGACGGCAGAAAGAAATTACCCGGTCCACGAACAAGAACTCCTGGCGGTCATCCACGCCCTTCAGAAGTGGAAAATGTTATTACTAGGAATGAAAGTAAATGTGATGACAGATCATCACTCTCTCACCTACCTTTTGAAACAGAGAAATCTCAGTAGAAGACAAGCACGCTGGACCGAGATACTGGCGGACTTTGAGTTGAATTTTGAATACATTCGAGGTGAAGACAACACAGTGGCTGACGCTCTTTCTAGGAAAGAAATTTCTGACAAATCTGAAGACATCAACATTAAAGATGTGGCCTGCGTGGCGGCACTCACCGAATTGGGCACTGAACTGTCAGACTCCCTCAAGAAACACATCCTAGAAGGCTACACAATTGATCCCTTCTGCAAAGCGCTCCAGAAGGTCCTGCCTCTTCGTGAAGACTGCTTTGAGAAGGAAGGCCTTCTTTTTGTTGACGGACGACTGTTGATCCCAAAGTCTGAGGATCTTAGAATCAATCTGATGAAAGATGCCCATGAACGGTGTAAGACTCAAAAGTGGTTATGAAACCCTTTTGCTGAATGGAGAAGGGTATGTTGGAGTTGCAAGCTCTGCCCTTCTATACTATCAGAATAACAAGACCACCAAGCTTAGCTTGGCAATTTTATATATAGTGATAGGGATAAGTTCGAGATGAAGCTGCCGATTGATATGTGTGAGGGTATAAAGATGTTGTTGACTGTTGGTTATATGGATGAAGTTGTTGTTGATGGATATGGTTCAGGGCACTTTTGGTTTATGATGATGATGAAAGTGTTAAATCTGTATTTCAATGTATATAATTCTGAAATTGTAATGTGGCTATGACTTGTAGTTATGAAATAATATGTAAGATGGATTTATTTATAAGGGTGGTTGAGATGATCTGGTCCACTGGTGGGATGATGGACACCTGGTGGGATGATGGAAGGAACAACTGGCAGGCAGAGGCCTCCTTATATAGACAAATGTGAGGGATTTTAGCCCCAGGGTACAGGCTGAAAGATACTACTACAAAGGGATGCATATGAATGAATAAAGGGACGCATATGTATGATCAAAGGGATGCATACATGCAATATCACTAATACAAAGGGATTCAAAACAACGTAAAGGTATTCAATTTACTACAAAGGAATCCAGTATGCAATATGCATCCTGTATTCATCATGACTATGGCTAGAGTGAAGAATCCAAGAAATATCCCGTGACAGGTTGAAATCTGTGTAACTTCTAAACTATAAGAGATAAGGGTATGGTTGTAGTGGGTGACTAGGGGTTATTTTACCTGAGGATTCCATTTTTGATGTCAATTTGACCATATCTTGAATGAATAAAGAGATAATGAGAAATTTTTATATTTTCTGCGTAGAAACACAGTATCATTTACCACATCCTCCCCCAACTTATTGACTGTCCCCAGTCAATTCTGATTCGGACTGTGTTTTGGAGCTAATATTACAAATAAAAAAAAGAGTATTTTTGGCTGTGTATAGTTGAGATTTGTCTTGAAGCGTGTTGAGTAGTTGAAATCATCCGTGGAGTGTTGATTGGTGAAGAAATGTTGAGATTTTGTTACGTTGACGTGATTTGTTTTCAGAGTTTTACTTGATCTGTCCAAGGGTATTGATGCCGTGGTGAAGTTGATTTTGAGTCTAGTTTTAATCCAATTTGATTTTGGTGAGATGGTGATTTGGTGCCTGACAAGCTGTTGTGGTTGATTATTCAGTTGTTTTGTCTTGAGATTATTCCATCCGTGAGTGATGAAAGTAAAAAAATTCCAAGGTGTTTTTGACTTAATCTTAGTAGGAATTGGGCCAGATGAGGGTTTATGAACCCAGTTTAAACTGTGAATTTTGTAAGTTGTGTAATGTTTTACTCATGGAATTTTATAGAGTTAGGAAAAAAAACCATGATTTTCTAGGTTTTAATCTTTTGACCTCAAAAAAGAGAGGGGGCACTCAATAGATATATGCTGATAGGTTGGATTATCCAAAATTGACACAAAGTGAGGCTCGAACTCGTGTTCGCAGCAGCCTGAATGTCGCTGTGCTGACTGACTCGACTATGGTAGACACCACGGTCATTTGCGTGTCGCCGCGGATGTAACCGTCACCTTGACGAATCCGCGTGCGTGACTGCGGCAGTAGGCGCAGTGACTGCGCACGAAACCCCCAATGAAACCCCCAGATGTCGCTCCGCGCGGGAGCGACATGCAATTGTCCGTGGTGAGATTTGAAGGTTGCAGTCTATGTGATGTAGTAATCCAAGCGCGCCCGGTTTAACTTTCCATGCCCTGTCACAGATCGTGACAGGGTCCGATCGGCCTTAGAACTCCGCGCCAGCCTCTCCGTGGGTCCTCCTCGTTCCAAACTTCTTCCAACTTCTCATCAATTCGGCACTCGACTCCTCAACTATTCCGACTATCGACTATCCTCGTGCTATTCCGATTATCCATCCCCGCCGGTAAGTGATCCGATTTTCTAGTTTCTTCTTTTTAGTTATTTTCAAATTAGTAAACTAAAAAAAACCATCTTCCTTTCGAATAGTTATCGATCGACTCTAGACTATCTCCGCGGCGAGTTAGCGGATACCTTCAACTTCCTGGTAAGTTCCTTTCGTTTTTTCGTTTCTCTTCATTTTCTTTTTGCTAGTCTTGTGTAGTCTCTTTAGCTGACGATTATTTTCAATCTTCGTTCCTTTGTTTCTTAAGTAGTGCTTCGATGTTTTAGCCTAATCGATCCTGGCTTCGCCTCGATTGTCTTTTGTATTCACGACCTCGTCGTTTTGAATAAAGGATGCAAAACGCCCTGGACCGTTCGAAAAAGGAAGGCTGCCATTTTGAATATGTTTAATCCATTGATATCGTGGGTAGGTCGAATCGATTGTTTGATAAGTTCGAAGGGGTCGTCTCTTCTTATAAATACCCTTGACTTGTCATCGCTTTCTTTCCTCCCTCATCCGCTTACTTCACCAGCTAACTCTACTCGAGAACTCCTCACTTCTCAATCAGCATAGCATCGGCTCCGAAACCTCGACCGACGTAAGCGTTCCATTTCCCGTTTATCTATGTTTGTCGTTGTTCTTGTAGCTGAACCGACAAATAAATCTGATTGCTTCCAGTTAACATCTTGATCGATTTTGTGAATTCACATGCTCTGTCTTCCTTGTTGTCCGTCCGCCAGAGTTAAGTCAACGATCCAGCTAATGAAATGATAGAGCTTCTTCAATCATTTTGCAATATAATAGCCTGATTGATTAAGAGAAGGTGAAAGTAGACACTAAAAAATAAAATAAAAAAACTTAAAATTTTAAAATATGTGTATATATTCAAGAGATGAGAGCTGTTCCCCTCCCCCAACTTATGAGGTTGTCCTCAACCTTCAAGATAATGGATTTGAAGTGAGTATAAGAGTAAATGATTGAACAATAGTAAGTGATTGAATAATTTAGAGGATAAATAGAAATTGACCAGAGAGATGAAGAGATAAGAGTGTCTTGGCTGAGAATTGTAGAGGTAAGGAAAAGATAGAAAATTGAAGATAGTAAGAATGTGAGTCAAGTATGAAATATTCCTCCCCCAACTAATAAGTTTTTCCTCAACCTTCTACTCAAAAAAAAAACTGATGAAGATGATAAGTAAGTGATTGAGAAAATTGATTTATTGAAAAAGAAAAAAATAAACCCAGGCAATGATATTGAGATAATAGAAAACTGATAGAGAAATTTGAGGAAAGTAAAAAAGGTGATCCTCCCCCAACTTAAAAAAATAATTCTGACAGTGGAAATTTAGAATTTAAACTGATGTAATGTTCTTGATTGTTTGGGGATAGAAATAAATGTTGGAAAAAGAATCAACCCACTCCCACAAGTTTCCTTGGGAGCTTGAACTTTTGATATAAATGTTCTGAGAGTTCTGGTTTTAGGTAAAGTTGAGAAAAGGGTTTCTTAAGCGAATAAAATAAGAGCCAGTAATATTTTGTTTTCAAGTCAATTTGCAAGTGATTGTTAACTGATTCCTCTAAATTATTGCTGGTTTTAATTTTTGCATTGCCCAGCTTGTTTGGTGAATCCCTCCATGTTTGTGTGATATCTGGTGGAACCGGCGCAGCTGGGATATTGAATGTTTCTTCAAGAAATGGTAAAATTTGAACTGGTGATGTAGTAGATTGATTTGAGGTAGGTCGACTGAGTGTTTTGAAATTTTTGGTTTTGTTTAAGCTAGAAATACTGATGTGTTCTTCCTTCTGTTTTTCAGGGTTGGTATATTTATTGATATTGGGTTGTTGAGTATAAATGTAGTTGATTTTTAAATTGTCGCATAAATCCAAATGAGGTTTGAAAAGATTTTTACTGAAAATTTTGTCTTTGAACTTGGTGATATCTTGAATCCAGCTGATTTTTGATTTTATGGGAAATTTTTGAGAGTTTTCTTTTATTTCTGGAAGGTGGAAATCTTGAGTCTGTAAAGCCTTTTTCCCGGATAGTTTTGATTGCTCCACCTGATCTGGTATATCCTTGTAGCCAAGTGGTTCCGATGGTTTGGATTCAATTGTTGAGGAGGTGGGTTTTCTGAGAGTTTCTGCCTCCGTAAAATTTAATTTTGGTGGGTCTTGAATCCTATTTGTCCTGAGTTTTTGCAGTTGGACCGCACCTGTTTTACAAATTCTCAAAAGTAAAAGGAAAATAATCAGAATATTCTTTTTTAATAACATTACCTTTGCAAAATATCTTTTTGTTAGCTTTGGTAGTTTTCTGAATAAATCCAAAAGAAAAGTTTTGAGCCAGTCTAGGAAACCCGGTGTTCTGAATATAACTCTCTTGACTAGCTTAAGTGAGTAATTCCGTAGTTGAACACCGGAATTCATAAAAAATGCTGATATGATTTGCTTCTGAACATGCGATGATCCTCGTTCAGTCGTATATTGTTGTCCTGTATCTTCACGGTATTGGTACTGAGATCCTTCTTATTGTTCCAGCCTCTTCCTTGGCCCGTTCTCGCTAATGGTACTGACACCCTTCGCCCCTTTGTTCCTTGAAAAGAAAGAGTTTCGCCATTCTCGTGATATTCCAGAGTGCATCCGTAGTCAAATAAGAAAGGTCGTCCTAAAATACAGTCCTGAGCCTTGGGCGAAACAAATAAATGTGCTGGTCCGGAGAATCGTCCAATTCCAACTGGGCAATTTTCAACTACTCCATTTAAGTCACATCTTGCTCCCCCAACTCCTTTCATTGGTATATTTACTTGAACTAGTTCCAAATCCAAATCTTCCGCTACTGATCTTGGCATAACATTTACCATGGATCCTGAATCTACCATAAATTCCACACTAGCTCCCCCTACTTCGGCTGTTACGTATCCTAAGGCACAGCTGTAGTAGCAAGGGTCCGAGGAATCTTCTATTTCCGGAGTGGTCATGGCTGCTGAGACTTTTGTGGCTTCTGTAGCAATATAAGTTGCACTACTTTTCTCTGGAAGTCGATTCTGAAGTTTCGTGATTATTTGTTCTGTGTAGGATGGTGAGATAGCCGTAAGTTGCGCAAATGTTGTGGGAATTTTTAGATGATCCAACTCTTGCAGCAGAGCTTCTTCTGGAGTTGCAGCCTTATTTTTATTCACTGGCTTTTCTTTACTCCACACTTTCTCTACCACAGGTGTTTTAGGTGTTTCCTCCGTAATATCGGCGAGCTTGTCTTCCTGATCAACGTCCATGTCATCCTTTTCTGGTTCTTGAATCCGAACACTGCGTCTTCCTCGTTGGCCCTCGGATCGGGTAATTGCGTGATTGGCTAGAAAGTTTTCTGCACCTAGTTGTGGTGGATCCCAATCAATGGTTTGAGCTGAGGTTTTCATTGTAGCCGGTGCTTGAGTTTCTCCTGATTTAAGGGATTCTGCTAATTTTCTTGCGGCTTCTTGCATTTGAAGGTCCGCTGACGCTGTAGCTACTACTGTTCTGATAGGTCTTGCAGGATTCCAAGGTATGTGTTGTCCATTTGGTAAATACCAGTCTTTTCCGTTACGCCTAACTAATCCTTGTTCTTCGTCCTTTAAGAGTTCTTGACATCGAAAGGTTCCGTGTCCCTCCCTCTTGCAGTAGTAACAAACTTGAGTTTCGTACAATGGTGTTGAAGGTTTAGCGTTTCCTCTAGTAAATTCCGATTTTTCGTTGGATCCGGATTGATTGTAAGATACAGGGATTATGCTCTTCAGTTGAGACTTGAGTGAAGCAATTTCTCGAGCCATATCTTCTACTTGTTTGTCCATGGCTTGTCCTGTAGGCGCTTCTGCAATCATCTGATCTCTTCGTTGGCTGTTTCCCTTCTGAGTGTTCAGTTTATTCTGCATCAATTGATTAGATTCGCCAAATCCCGTGATGTTAAAGTACCCGGGTTCCACGATCCGTACTTCCAGTCTTGATGCTTCAACCAAGTCTTCCCAGAGTGGAGGTAAATTGCTGCCATCTGGTCCCTTTGGTAGTAAATCGTAACTAATTAAGGTGCGTTTGATATTTGATTGGCTTTCACGGGAAAATGCACTCAGAAAGAGTATTGAGGCATCCGATTTCTGATGTATTTGCTTATTGGTTACTAAGTATTTAAGGATGGTGGTGAATTTTCCTAAGTAAGATTTGAATTCCCGATGATCCTTGATTCCGCCATTTACTCCGTATTCTTTCGTAACTTTAACCAGGTCGTTGCAGGTGTACAAGATTGTGTTGTCCAATTCGCCCCAGGTTTCGACCATTTCTTTTCGTAGTTTCGCCCATTCGCATTTCTCAAACCCGTCCATGGCTTCTAGTTGGATCTTGAGCTCCTCGGTCTTCATAAATCGTCCGATTTGTAATGCCTTATCGTAGTCGCTTGCATTAAACGCCCTAGCCGCTCTTTCAAACCGCATCAAAAATTTTCCAAAGTTTTCGCCATCGTAAAAAAGTCCTGGTTCCTTGATAATTTTTGGTGCTATTTGTGGGATGGGTTGCTGATTCATGTTTGCTTGATTGTCAGGTTGTTGTTGTTCTCGATTATAAACTGGTTCTCCCGCATTCTGAGTGTTGTGTATTCCGTATCCTGAAACAGGAGGTATATTCGTTCCTTGAGGTGTAGTATCTCCTATATCCGAGTCTTCATCTGTTGTATCTCGCATTTGGCTTGCTTTTCCTTTTCCTTTGTCCTTTGGTGGTGGTGGCATCGTGTTTTCCGAATTCCAATTGAAAGCTGAAGAGGATCCCGAAGGTCGATTAAAAGGATGGTTCCTAAAAGGGGTTGATGGTGCGAATCCGTCTTCCAAATCTGGTGTACTGAATGGTAAACTCATGTTGATTGTGATTGATTTTCCTAGTTTTCCTTACTTAACGCTCCTCTGATAACTAAACTAACGGTTGCTCTGAAAAAGAAACAAAATAATACTATGGTCTCTGGTCTCTTTACCAGGGCAAGTTTTATGATTCTCTAAAATAATAATTCAAATAATACTGGGAATTTCTCCTTCTAACAGGATCTACTTATCCAAATCCTTCGGTGGTCTTCCTTCTTTTGGTCAATAAGCAGCTGCTTCCTTCGAATAGTTCCTAAGTTCTCTTCAAACAGTATCCAAGTTATCCAAATCCTTCGGTGGTCTTCCTTCTTTTGGTCAATAACTGGCTGCCTCCTTCGAGATACTCGTTTTCAGTTGATGGTTACACTTTCTTTTCCAGAGGTTCGTTGATTGTTTCGTTGAATTGTTTTATTGAAGTTTGACTAGTTGATCAACAGAATAACTGAATATGCCGTTGAGTTGTTACAGATATAGTTGCTGAATTCGTTCCGTTTACCGCTAAAGTAATGATCCTTGGTCGATGTCTTCTTGATTATCTTCTTGTTTCGTTTAAAATTGGTCACACGATTCCAATCAGAGGTTATCCTATCACGTTGGGGACTCCCTTGTAAGACTCAAAAGTGGTTATGAAACCCTTTTGCTGAATGGAGAAGGGTATGTTGGAGTTGCAAGCTCTGCCCTTCTATACTATCAGAATAACAAGACCACCAAGCTTAGCTTGGCAATTTTATATATAGTGATAGGGATAAGTTCGAGATGAAGCTGCCGATTGATATGTGTGAGGGTATAAAGATGTTGTTGACTGTTGGTTATATGGATGAAGTTGTTGTTGATGGATATGGTTCAGGGCACTTTTGGTTTATGATGATGATGAAAGTGTTAAATCTGTATTTCAATGTATATAATTCTGAAATTGTAATGTGGCTATGACTTGTAGTTATGAAATAATATGTAAGATGGATTTATTTATAAGGGTGGTTGAGATGATCTGGTCCACTGGTGGGATGATGGACACCTGGTGGGATGATGGAAGGAACAACTGGCAGGCAGAGGCCTCCTTATATAGACAAATGTGAGGGATTTTAGCCCCAGGGTACAGGCTGAAAGATACTACTACAAAGGGATGCATATGAATGAATAAAGGGACGCATATGTATGATCAAAGGGATGCATACATGCAATATCACTAATACAAAGGGATTCAAAACAACGTAAAGGTATTCAATTTACTACAAAGGAATCCAGTATGCAATATGCATCCTGTATTCATCATGACTATGGCTAGAGTGAAGAATCCAAGAAATATCCCGTGACAGGTTGAAATCTGTGTAACTTCTAAACTATAAGAGATAAGGGTATGGTTGTAGTGGGTGACTAGGGGTTATTTTACCTGAGGATTCCATTTTTGATGTCAATTTGACCATATCTTGAATGAATAAAGAGATAATGAGAAATTTTTATATTTTCTGCGTAGAAACACAGTATCATTTACCACAACGGCTGGGTCACTTGGGCTACCTGAAGACAGTGACAGAACTACGGCGGGATTTTTTCTGGCCAGGACTGTCAAAAGGAGTTCGTCTGATGGTGCAAGGCTGTGTGACTTGCCAACGAACAAAGACTGCTACGGTTGCTCCAACAGGAAAAATGATGACTCCCCCAATGCCCTCCAAACCACTGCAACACTTGGCAATTGACTTTGTAGGACCTCTAAAAGGCTCCAACCACTACAACATGATACTTACTTGCACATGTCGTCTGTCGGGATTCACACGAATAATTCCTGTACTACAGAAAGATACGGCGGAGAAGACGGCCTCAAGATTTTTCACGGGTTGGCTGGCAATTTTTGGTGCACCAAGCACCATATAAATCAGTGATCGCGACAAAACTTGGACCTCACGTTTCTGGAAAGCAACGATGGAACACATTTCGAACCTATTCCACATGACAACTGCTTTTCATCCTCAAGCAGATGGCAGGAGTGAACGAACCAACAAAACGGTAGGCCAAATACTCAGGACTTACACGGCCAAACGCCAGAGTCGCTGGTTAGAAGCCCTACCAGCAGCAGAATTTGATATTAACTCAGCTATCAATGTGGCCCAAAAATTTATTTTTTTGGGGAGGGCAGAGAAATTTTTACCTTTTTTTGCATAAAAAATTGAATATGCAAACTGAGCAAGCAAAGATGAGGCATTTTAGCCCAAAAAAACATACCCCAAACACAACAAAATCAAGCTAATTAGCTCTTGTTCTAGGTTAAATTGGCTCAGTTTGGCCTAAATCTTTTTGTGGGTTTTTTTGCAAAAAAAGTTGGGATTGGCTTTTGCTTCTATTTTGCTGTAATTTTTCACTTTTAATGGTGGTCACACATCCTGATCAATTCATTACTTCAGACTGGTAAATCAATTGTGAAATCCTCATTTCCTTCACCTTCACACCCTTGTGTGCAAGTTTCTCACTCCTGCACAAGAAATAAAATCCAATAGTTATAACAAAATAAATATCATACAATTTATTATAATTATCAATAGCAAGAGTAAATAATCAAAAACACAAAAAGGAAAACAAAATTCAAAAACATCATTTACATGAAGTAGAATGAGAAATTTATGAAAAAATGGCCATCTTATATTGTATAATTAGCACACTTGTTTCAATTTCTGTAATGTTTTTGGCATTACTAATTTGGAGTCTATTTGAAGGGCTTGAGTAGTCAGGCGAGTTTGGGACTTGAGCCAGTTTTCGTCATAAACATCTTTTGCTCCAGCCTTGGGTGGGTCAAGTGTGCTGTCTACTGGGTTCAGAGGTCGCCTTCGAAGCCGGGGCTTGTTTCCGGAGTGTTTTCTGGCTATTCCGGCAAGTTTTTGTTCTCGGTATTCATCCAACAAGATCATTGCTTGGGTCAATTCTTTGCTCCGCCAAACTAACCGTCGAACTTTGCAAAATTTAAGCGATTGGTTTGGATGTACTGGTTTCGATGTACTGGCCACTGGAACTTCGTTGTCTGTCTCATCATCACTGGTACATTTTGCAATCATTGGCCGGAATTTGGCCAAACCTCCAATTTCCAAGGCAGTTTCTTCTCGTGCCTTTATCAGCTTGATGGGGCAAAACCATTGACAATTACTCAGTTACATGCTGTTGTTTTCTTGGTGACTAACATACTAATTGAGTAACGTACATTTCTTCTCCGTGCCATCCTCAGCTGACTTTTGGCTCGTTCCATCTGCTTTTCAGGAGGCCACATTTTCTCATTGTTCCTGGAATATAGAGGAGATTGTTAGTGATGGATGCCAGTATGGAAACACGTAAAGCCTTTCACTTACTTTCGAAAATAGCGTTCCTTGGCATAGTTCGTGAGGAGGAGTAAAATGGCGTCGGGGTCTTTTTCCTCAGGCTTCAGACCGTCGTATTCTCCACACTGAACGAGACGTACAAAAATATCTCGAGCCACGGACACGCAGTGCTTGTTATCGCCATGAGATAACTTCAATGTAAGGTCGAAACGAAATCTCGGCATTTTTACTTCTTTCAACATATCGTGCATTATCTTCAATATCTCTTGCGATGCATGTGGGTGTCCAGGGCCTCCAGAATAAGGGTATTGATCGTCTTCAGGGTCATCGTCTGTTTTGTTGCAGTCAGCATAACTAGCGCCACTTTCTATTGATTCGCAGTCTGTTTCGTCCTCAGACCCTTCGTTTCTTAGCCAGAGTCTTTTCTCCCGACTAGAAGGGGGAGAAGGGGGCAGATCGGAACCCGTGGGCAAGCCAAACAGCGCTTCATAGTGCATTTGGATAAGTTGCTGTAAGGTAGATGAACTATGAGTATTATAAATCGGTTTGCAGTGCTCATAATGAAAAACACAAACTAACTTTGATCCTTCCAGTCCGAGATACCTTTTTAATTACAGTATTGGTTTGGGGTTGCTGTGAGGAAGATTTGGTGCAAGGTTGGTTGTTGGTCTCAAGAATTTCGAGTATCTCGCGTTGATGATGAATTGTCAATGTTACGTCCTCCTGAAGAGCCGAAATCTTCGTGTTGTGGATTGCCAAATCTTTCCGAACCTCTATCAGAATCTGGTGCAAAGATGACAAAGAGGGACCACCGCCAGGGGTAGTCTCATTGTCGCTATAGCCAAAAGTCAATGAAACCGTGCATTTTTAATCAAATTTCAGAATGAATCCTCACCTATTAGATATTCTGGCGACGTCCGGCGTGAGGCCCGGAAGTGAGGAGGGGAGTTGTTGACCGGATTGCCGAATATGTGTTGGGGACGGAGATGGGGACGTCTCGCTCCGGGTTTGGTTTCTATTGGAAAGCGTTGGGTCTTGTTGTGAAGCGCTCAATTCAATCAGATCTACAGCGTTCGAGACGGTGGATCCCTTTGGCGCTCGCTCAGTATTTGAGGCGCCCTGAAAAGCCTCCGATGAAACATGAGCTGCATGGCCATTTCGGGGAGGCTGAGAATTACTAGCAGCGGGGTTGGTTGAGTTTGTTACAGAGAGCTGTTCTTGGACTTGAGTGAAAAAATCAGTAACATGGACAAAAGAAAAATATCAAGGTAAGGTGTACTTACTTACTGGCCCATAAGCCACAGCCATTTCGATCAGTTGGGCTCGGTTTTTGCCCACAACACTACATCCAACCCGTTGAAGTATGGACTTAAGATGGGAATCTTCAACTCGATCAAAATGGGCATGGTGCCTTTTGGAAATCCCTCCCTGCGCGATGGGTATGGTGAAGGCCCAAGGAAAATTGACAACTGGGGGGCGCCGATCGGCCCCCACGCCCGTCGTAGCGTAATCAGTTAATTCAGAGTCCTTCTGTCGTGTCGGTGGGTCTGCCTCATGAGCAGGGAGCCGCCCGTGACGGGGACGCCGAGTGGGGCGCCCAGATATTTCGGGCTCTGAATGATCACTGTCAGCAATTGTGACCTTGCGCTTCCGGCCCGCTCCAACGGGCGAGGGGGTTGCCGGACTTGATTCAGTTTGTTGACGTCTCCGTGTACTATCACGTACGGCTGGGACTATCACCGCTCAACAGAACAGATAAATATGATAAGTATTATTATAAGCAGGCTACATTGGCGGGCGAGCAAGTGTACACTTGCCTAGTGAGATTACCGGAGCCAAAATTGTTTTTCCAGAACGGGACCTAGTTCTAGCTCCCGGGCCGTCTGCCTGTGCCGTTGCAGATCCGGCCAGTCGGTTCTTATGAGGAGATGATGTTGGATTGATGTGACGGGGGCGGCCTCGGCGAGACGGCATGACGAAATCTGGAGGTGTATCAACTGGAAAATGTCTCAGAAGTCGAAGATGACAGAACTCGGAGCTGACAGCCTCCGAGATTTGATAATTAGAAACAGTTAACCCTTCACGGTGAGTGTGAATGCCTATTTCATCACGAAATCAGGTGCACATTGATTTCTTTCACCGTCATTGACAAAGGCCATCCTTTGTTCTCATTGCTGGGCGGGTATTCCAAGGTTTCCACAATGATTAACTTGTGTTTTGAAGCTAAGGACGGTTTTAGTCTATCAGAAGAAGGGCACAACAATGAATGGGGACATGATCAAATTAAGAAGTTGGAGCTGAAGTTTGCTACATAAACCGACTAATTACATTCCTACCTGGCCCCAAACGCTGAACCACGGCGGGAATAAGTCGGTCGGTCACTATAATGGTCACACCGGTGCAGACCACAAGCCTCCTGTCTGGTTGGATGAAGGCTGATCTTACGCATCGACATCCAACCAGACATCCAACAAGATGTGTGAATGTGCGACTTGTCTCAGTAATTGCTACCCCGGGTGCTTGGGATCAGCTATGTAACTTGGGTACATGTAATCGTGATGGAACTGACCAGTAACCAAGGTATGTAGATCGTTTTTGAGCTACTAGCCCAAGGATCGAATCCATGAGGTGAGATGGACTGCCATCGCTTGTGTTTGTAGTTGCACGACTTGTGATGAATGTTCCGAAAAACCCACGCACATAAAAACTTTCCGCGGTGTTGACAAATTGTGAACCGCCGGGGTTGCTCCTAGTACAAGATACACAATCAGATGTGACAGACTCACCACGCAAGATAAGGGTAGTGCTTGATGCCGTACTCGTTCAAGTATGTACACCTGAGAATTAGTCTCGCGTAAGCTGAAGGCAATCAAATTTTGAACGATATATCCTACCTGCAACCAAAGGCAGGTGTACTTTTCTCTCATCTTACGGACCAATCTGCTGTAAGCTGCGGACAAGCTCGTTCAAAGTTTCTGCATAGATCTTTTAAATCAGTGTATCCTGATTGAAGTTTCCTCTCCAATATAGTCAAGTAAACTTAGTTCTCATCTTACGAAGAAGCTGCTATACCTGAAGTCAAGTTTCGGTGAGTTACCCGTTCCGATGTTTTTCGTTTGTCTGGATCGTGAATAAAGTTTTCTGTTGGTTTCTTACTAGGCTGCCTCTATCTGTGGTTGGAGTTTCCTGCCTCGATATTCCTATCTGCTGTCGGATTCATACTTGATTCACATCCAGACAAGAAATCTTCGGTAAGGCAGTTAGCGCGTGCAGATTTTATCCATTAATTATCCTATTCACCGTACTTCTTTTCATTAGATCATCTCACTTACCCAAAATGGCCACTGGACGTTTCACCGATTACTTTGCCGAGGAAACTGAAAGGGTTGGGAATGGAGGAGCCCGCTTGGGAAATACGGCGAGACGTGTGGATAATTTGGAAACTAGATTAGACAGAATTGCCCGTACGTTGACATCTTTCGCAGATTGAGAAAACATTCATGTTAATTTACTGATGTTACTTTGTATTCTTGGGCCGAGGGGGTTCCTCAGATTTCTGTGCCTTGGAAAGTAGACAAGTGACTGATATGCTAGAAGCCCTCGATAGAAAAATTCAAAAACTAACGGAAGCTGTCGAGAACGGGAGACAAAATCGCTCTGATACTGAGGGTGAAGCGACTGCGGCCGGGACGAGTGCAGCAGCGGGGGCTGAGGAAGGAGCGGCCAAGACTTCTGCAAACGTTGAGCAAATGGAAACGCTTCCGATCCCACTTGAACAGACTTCGTCCGAATCGAACTCAAGTGATAGGTGTCGGGTGTTGAAGAGACTGCTCGAAAATTTGAGCAAGCTGATTGGAAATGGTGGGGAGGCATCCACGATTATAGAACACTGTCAGATCTTTGAGGGTCTCACCGAGGAGGAGCTGGCAGACCTGTGGACCGCCGCAGGGATTCCTGATCCGGATGCACACCCAGATCCAGCGGCGATTGCCGAGGCCCGAGCTAGATTCGAGATGGCATTGGTCGAGCGCGTCTTGAATGTGAGCTCAGCGGCTTGGGATGACGACAGACAATTTCGAGTGTTCTTCTTGATTCTAGTCGGGGCTGAACATGAGGAAAGGCTGTCCCGCGACACCAACACCGCTTTATGGGAGCGAGTTTTTGAGTATCGCCGACTATCAATATTGAATCGGCCATCGCGCAACAACGAAACGCCAACTGATGTGGATATGGCGGAGTTTATGGTGGAGAGACCGGTCAGGGAATCTCCCCCTCGAACTTTTAGCGAAGCCAGGCAAGCACTGATGGCGGATCATTTCCGAGTAATGAGAAACGCCGAGGAAGTCATCGGTCGTGCACAGCGGGCCATTACTAGAGCCGAGGAAACGATTCAGCGTGAGAGGGGTGCACTTGTTACCTTGCGCCAGGAAGATGAGCGAGCCGAAATGGACAGGGAGCTGGTCGAAGTCGAAGGTAGGGCCATTGGCGAGGAAGACCTTGGTAGCGCCACCCCAAAGCGCGCGAATCTTGGTGGAGAGGCAAGCGGCTCGAAGCGTAGGAGATTGGATGCTGAATGATCTATTCCCACAAAGGTTAGTACCCTGTTTTTTACTCTGTCATAACTGGTTGGGTGACACGTGCGCTTGCAACAGGTCGATTGAAATAACAAAGCGTTGGCAGCGCATCATAACTTTTTTTTTACATTGGTGATGCATAAAAAAATGACAAAATGAGTTAATTTGAATAAACGGTGAAGAATGAAAAATACGATGAAAACTTACTGGTATGGCCTCTTAATTATATCGTGGTGATTGGGGTAGTATATGTATATAATATATAATATTTGGATGAAAAAGGCCACACTTGTTCCGACAGAAAGATGAATGAAATTATCAAGCCTCCTTGTAGCTCCTTGTCTATCTAGCGTTCCGTCCGAGTTGATTCTACATTTTTTGTACAGAGAACCTTATGTCATCCTCTCAAGGGCTCTCAAGGGATCTTCTTGATGACGACATACATGAACATTAACTTAAAAAAGTTTAATGCTAAGCGAGTACGCTGCTCTCGTGGGGTCGCACTAACAACCCCCGGATTCTGCGCTTATGTCTTCCTGCGCGCTCATGATGGAGATTTGGAGGTTAGGAGGCCCCCAGACTCGGTCAGCCAATGACACTGAGGGCAAATGAGATGTTTATTTCCTCCCAGCTTGTGCGAGAATGTGCTGTGAGCTGAGTTTTTTCCCGGCTTGTGCGGGAACTTCCTGTGAGCACAGTGTGGTGTGATTGCTGGGCGTGATCATATAACCGCAATTTTACAGAGGCTCACCGTCGACTGTCAGCCTCTGTAAAATTGTCAGGTGGAAATGTTTTTCAGCCCGGTTGACTAGACACCAAACTAGATAGCAGAGAAATGATAATGGTGGCCGGCCACTATATAGTGGCCCACCATTATTAGCACAACAAGCTAATCATGATTCATATATCATGATTAGCTTGTTGAGCTAATATGAAGTCAATCTAGGAGTTGAGTTCGTGGGTGGAAAACTAAAAGTACTAGCTAGTACTTTTGGTCAAACCAAAAGGATTGCATGCGACAAGGCTTCCTTTATATCCAGTTTCATCTCAAAGTGAATGGCTCGGTTGGTCATTGGAGAAAAATGCAAAGGAACCGGCTCGATGGTCTGGTCCGATTGAACAGAGTATAATTAAGTCCACCACTTGTGAGTCCGGTTTGCTACATCCATATTAAGTTGCTTCACTACTTCGCAACATCGTCAAGACTTCTCCAGCTCTGCAAAAACGGCAGTCAAGGTGTTTTAACTGTTTCTTCACATTGGTATTGTTACGGAAAGATTCAGTCGGGCTCTTTTGGGTGTACAGATAGATTAATCATTGTCGCGCGTGTTTTCGAACAGTTCACCTCGTCGAAGTTCTAGTTTGCGGTACATCTTAGTGTTTGCTCAGAATCGTGACTATGTCTAGTATCCCGTCTGGCCCAGCTAGTCCTGGCGCTTTTGAGGCGGTGAAGGGGGGTGATTCGACTGAATCAAGCTTGGGCCTACTGCCTTTCAAGCTTGTAGGTGCAGCAGCCAAAATGGACTCCGAAATGATTAAGCAGTACTTACCTCCGGGGTTTCTAAAAGAGATTTATAAGATCGCGGAGGATCGTGCTAAGAATGGAAAGGACTGGAAGAGTAAAGAGGATGGCGAAGAAAAGGGGATTATCGTCGACAAAGATGGTGAGCACATTAAGGTGGTTTGGATGTGTGGCTCGGGGACAACATGCTGACTTGTCAAGAACATTTCTCTAGGTCATATCGTGGATGGCCCATTTCCCTTGGCGATTCACAAGGGCGCAGAGTCCGTGGCTGGGACTAACGAAGGGAATCCGACTAACAAACAATGTGCCGCCTCGTCTGTCGCCGCCCGAGGTATGTAGATAAATACTCGATCGTTTCGTTTATCAGCGGCTGATTCCACATGATCTTTCCAGCGGATGCCGGACCTTGCACCGAGGATGAACTTGAAGGTGCCGCTTTCAAGCTTGTCGGTGAAGCAGCCGAATTGGACTCCGGAGTCATTAAGCAGTACTTATCTCCAGAGCTTCTAAAAGAGATCTATAAAATCGCCGAGGAACGTGCTAAGAATGGAGTGGACTGGGAAAATGAAGAAGACGGTGAAGGAAAGATGATTATCATTGATAAAGATGGTGAGCAGATCGTGGTGGTTTTGATGTGTGCCTCGGGACAACAATATACTGACTGGCAAATCAATTTCTTTAGGTCATATTGTGGATGGCCCCTTCCCATTGACGATTTATGAGGGCTGTACAGATCTAGAGTCGGTTGAGGCGAGTAGCGAAGGGAATCCGACTCAAGAACACTGTTCCCAAGGTACGATATAACACACCATTAATCACGTTTTGATTGAAAGTGGCTGATTGCCATGATCTTTCCAGGAGATGTCGAGCCCTTGACCGAGGATGAACTTGAAACTGCCCTTGCGTTCCTTCTGGCCGATGGGTGTTACTTTTGTACATCACACTTCCACCAAAGACAATTGATACAAAGACTCCAACACTACGGGTATGATCAGATTCAGATGGAATTAAGCGCTAGTCATTAGTGACAATTCTCTCTGCTAATCAGGCTGGTACATACATCTGAACACATAGTTTACAAAACCTTGAGCGATGTGGGCGCGACAAAATATAATTTCCTTGTTGTTTTTCTTGAGTTTTACTAGTCATCTGTGAAAGATGAAATCAATCAGGCCTCATGCTGGTTCACCGGACAATTTTTGATCCATGATGTGGCTTGTCAGGGTTGACAGAGAGCAATTTGGTTGCTTCCAAACGGAGAAGTAGTCCGATTATAAAAACGTCCAATCCAATCGGATTATAAAGAAAGACTCATTTTACTCGCCTCAGTTCCATCAATCCGGAACATGCACCGGAACATCTGAGCGTGTATAATTCCGGTTACCGCAAGCTTCTGAGTGTACCCGCTTGCCGGCGCGCCTTGTGTACGGCTGCGTGGACTGACGTGCAAGTCATAGAACATTGGACTTTTCCCACCCACGGTTCCAGGCAAAACTCGTCAAATGGCCTTGCAGCCCGACAAAATCCGAGACGACTCTGTGATCGCCCCACTGGCTTGATTTGCATACGGCCGATTCCTCTGATTCACCCAACGGAGCTGCTAGATTTTCTCTTCTCTATCTAGTCCTCAGATTCTTATACTACTCAGAATCTTACATAGACCTCAGAATTTCATACTGCTACATTCAGTCCTCCTGAAAATGAATGATTCTCCGAACTCACGTGAGTTTAGCACGCGTTGAATCCGCACGAACATACTGATCTACTTCTTTTAATCCACGGTGTTTGTATTAAAGAAGATACCATATTGATCATTGGTCGTGGCTTTCGGTTTTTGTCCGATCACTAGAGGAAGTAGCAAGGATATCACGCGAAATTGAAAAGTTACAACGCCAACAAAGGCAAGCTGGTCAGTGAAATTCATCCCTCGAATACGATTCCCATCAAATGTGCTCACAACTCTTGTTTGGGCATGTATAATATAGATCAAGAGGTCAGAAGAATCGCGGCCCAATTCCGCGCGGACCTGCTCGAAATGAATTTACAAAATATCAGTACGTTTTGTCTATAAAGTCTTTTCCACCCCTAAATATGAGCCTAATGTCAGTTCGGCCCTGCGTCATATCAGATAGACAAAGCACTATGGCTGAACGAATCAGGATCCTTGAAAACCGTGTTGCGGAAGCGATCTCGCCCAACGGCCCAAACGCCGAGGTAAACACGCGCGAGCAAACCGCCGTGGTGGACTGGAATGCTGGTCGTGTCTTGGACGGTGCGACTCGACCGGACGATCCTATTGGGCCACAGGGTTATGATGAGAATGATGTGAATCTCGTACCAGCTCTCATGACCTTGACCCGGGGGAGGACTCGACAAGATGGGACGAACTCAGGCGGCGGTACGGTTTCGATCGCTGAACGCTACCGAGCAATGATGTAAGGCAGTTTCGTTATGTATCAAATGAGAGTCAATCCATCTTATTCAAACATTGGCCTTGGTTTTTCAGGGACCCGTTTGGGGCACTCCCGAGGCAACACACCGATACGCATGCCACCCCGCCCCAGGGCAACAGTGGTAATCATTCACCTGATGAAGTACTCGTGGATCAAGGACAGGGTAGCTCCCCTGGTTCGAGTGCAAGAGCCCCTAGATCTCTTGGGGGGGCTATGCGCGCGGATGATCAAGATATGGAGATGGGTCCTGCATAAGAAAGATGAGACTTAGCCTGGAGATGTGGCCTGCTGATCTTCGTAGCCAGCCAACAATTATGTACCGTTTGTGGTTGTTTCCCTTTTCAATTGGGTATGAGGTTGTTTCCAGTTTTCCTTTGCGTATGAATAACTTCGCGCTTAAAAGCCAAATCGCCTATTATAACCGGAGAGCGCTACAACATACAGGACCCTGTTTTCAAATCATGCTTGAGCCTCCTAGACACGACTCAAATTGAATTCTAGCCCAGCAGGCATGAGAGACAATCTCATCCCACTTTTAATTTGTTATCCAGACCTGCTGTCTAGGTATCATGGACATGCGAAGTTGTATATCAAAGGCCTTTCGAGACTTCCAAAAGCCGAAGGCTTGGTGGTTCCATTTTTGTCACATCAAATGTCCACACAAAAGTTCTTGTAAACACCACCGGTATGCTTTGATCATTTGTGCTTATATGCGCCGGATCTACAACTAGGAACATGTACGAAATCCGAAATTGAAGAGTAGCTCTCACCGAGGATTAAGTCCATCCCGAAAGAATGAAATCGGGTGGCCTGCTGCGGCTGCAAATACTTATTGGATCGGACATCGACATGTCGAGGTATGGCCCCGATTTCTGCGTCATGTTCTAAAAGACCCACGGATAAACTGGCCGCGGATGTGTGCCAAACGAGATGTGAGGGGCCTACAATTTGACTGGGAGGCACATCGACTTGGAGCTGAGGAACGTTGTGCGTTGTGCCAAAAAAACAGACCAGTCTCGTCACTACACAACACGGTCAAAGATAATTCACACGTCCATTACACGTACCATTTTCGACCTAGATCATCTCCAACATTCGCTCTTCGGGTGCGTAACGCCTGCATGCTTGTTGGATGACTTATAACTCAGTTTGCTAACAAATGTGGTCACTGGGTTAACCTGATCATCATCTCAGATATTTGAACTTGAAACAACTAACCTTGCTGCCGTATAATCCTGGTTATCTTTCTGAGGTCAGTATCAAGTTCTTCAATTGCTTCATCATATATAAAACCTGTAGTAAGTACAACTTACTTACAATTAACCCCTTCAATTTGACCCTGCCCGAGATAATCTCCTCACCCAACACACTCTGACATACAATTCCTCCACAGATGTCAGCTCGCTTCAGCAACTACTTTGACGAAGCAGCCGTGAGGGTCCAGAATCGCGGACCCCGCTCAAGCAACAGTCCTAGGCGCGTCGGAGATTTGGAGACTCTGGTAAACCTGAATGCTCGTAAGTTTTAGTGCATTCGGATCTGAAGCAATATCAATGAGATGACTTGCTCAGCACATGTTTGTCTTTGATTTTGGTTGCGCGGGCAGACTACAGTGAGTTGGAATGTCGCGAGGTCACTCGTATGTTCGAAGGCCTGGACTTGAGAGTTCGCAATCTAGAGCAAACCGCGGAACTCAGAATTCGCCATCAAGAACATATTGCGGAGGTCCGTCAGCCAAATGCTCCCAACCCCCATGAGCCTGGTGCTGCCGTTGGCGAAGGAAATCGTCCCGAAGAGGCGCCTCCGGGGAGGGCCGCCGGTGCAGATGAAATGGTTTTGGATCGACCCGAACCCATGATACATTACGGTCGCGCGGGGCCGGATGCAAACACACCCCGTGATGAGGCAATGCTGGCAATGACCCAAGTGATTACCCGAGTGACAGCTGCAGTGACTACCGCGACCGTCTCCGCTTTGCTTGACTATGACGAGCTCTTTGAGGGTATCTCCGACGAGGACAGAACAGATCTCTTTGCCGCCGCAGGGGTTCCTCGACCACATGATGGGCCAGATGCGGCGGAGGTCGCGCGGAGGAACGGCATTATTGAAAGAAACTTGGTGGAGTTCGTATTGAATGCGATGTTGCCAAGGTATTGGGAAGACGATGATGCATTCAAGCTCGAATATTTGCGACAACTCACGGCTGATGTGAAGGCCCGGGCGGAGGCAGACAGGGACATGTGGGGGCGATTATTTGAGTTCCGCCGGCTATCGATCGAGGGGCGTGGGCGGCCCCGTGTCCGCGGAATGGATGCGGATCTAGAAGAGTTCGGACACCAAATACGAGAGCCCGCGGAGGAGGAAGAGGCCCCCCTGGATCCAAGTGAAGCAAGACGGGCGGAGATGGAAAAGCTCGTCAAAAGCATCAGGAACTCTGAGCGCACCATCCAAAGGGCCGGGCGGGCTATACAATTGTGCCAGCACTCGATCTCAGGCGATGCGACTAGACTGGCTACGTTGCGCGGCGAAGAGGATCGACACCAAGCGGCTCAAATGGACGCGGGGATGGAGACACCTCAAGCCGAAGGACCTGGGGCAGATGATCCGGCGCAGGTGGTAACTGAAGAAGAGAATCAAGTGCCTCGCCCATTGCATCCCGAACGCCGTGGTGATGTTCTCCCGAGGACGGCCTATCGCACCGAGGGTGAAGGGACGGTCACGCAAAAGCGAGGCAACGACTGCGGCCCAGGGGAAGGCGGAGACGGAGGATCCAGTAAGCGTACGAGGTTTGAACGTGATTGAGTGCTCGAGAGAGAGGTAAGATGATCACTTGCGGAATTTTACTATGTATTTCAATGATGTCAATAACGTACTTTACCTGCGCCTTTCATTTCCCCGCCGCGCCGCTAGCAAATTATTGGCTTCCTTCCTGCCACCGATGTTTGCTGTATTGGCCTACACAATTAAAAACAATTAACATCAAAACACGAAAAAAACAATACAAAACACAGAAAACCCTAAAAAAACTCAGCTTGCCTATTATTTTGCTGTGAACTGCTACATTCCCGGGAGCGCTTGGCCGATTGCGTTATTTTTTTTTCAGTAGGATCTTGTTGTTGTCCCTCCTACTCTGTTACCGTCATGTTGTCCTTGACTCGGTTGTGTGCCTTTGTTTTCTCATGTTCTCCACGGATGATGTCAAATAATATGTGTGCTTGGCGCATTGTTGGCTGTTGGGGTATGTATATACAGCGTTGCGCGAGTGTTGGCTGACTGTATGAGAGACACGATATACATACGCTCAGTTCTTTCTGAACAGCCAGATGATCCCTGCTAATGTGTGATCTTTGCCAGCTATATCCATACACAATCTGAGGATGTACGCATGAAATTCAGAAATTGTAAATATTATGTACAGCCCATCCAAACCGCGCACGCTTGTGCACAGGGATCGTCTGTCTTGAAAAAATCTCTCCGGCGACTTTAATACATACATAATGGATATTACATAGCAAACCATATCATTATAACTCTTTATGTACATCTGTTTATAATGTAGCTTTATTTACAGAAAAGCGAAATGATAAACTCCACTCCATACATTGTTATATGTGTATGCGCAAGCGCCCGATCCCAGCGAGATCAAACGTTAATCGACAAAAGCATTGGTCAGCGAGCATCATCTCATCATTGCTCGCCAAAGAAAATACAGATGAAGCGTGCTGAGCTGGGGAGACTATGACCTCTCGAAGGAATTTTCCAGCTCCGCACTGTCATTCTGATCCCGGCAGTCAAAGTAAGTACTTTCGAAGGAATCTGAACAATAGTCGGAGATGAAGTAAGTAAACTTTTCAGGTCATGTAGTCAGTCGCATTGATACTCACTCTCGTCCGCGCGGGGTTTCGGCCGGTCAGGTGTCGTCGAGGCGAGGCCGAGCCCACGGGGACCGGTGATCTCTTCCCACTCGCCGGTGACTACACGTAATTCACGAGTTCTACCGCGCACACTTGCTCGACCGGGTTCACTTGGCTCACTGGATGACTGGTTCTCCCCCGTGTCGATTCCGGCCGGTCCGATGGATCCACCAACGTCCACTGTGGTGCCCGACTGTTGGCCCTGGCCCCAAGAGCGTCTGATGAGATTTTGCCCCTCCGGCGAATCCAGGACCACCAAAGGTGAGAGCGGCGGTTGTAAACAAGACTGTGGAGTTGAAGGGGAAGGTACAGTAGGGATGAGACCCCTGATGACTAGGCTCTCGAGGAACGTCCTTGGTGTTGACTTGGGTCTCAAGAAAGCATTCCTCCGGGGTGTATCGACCACCGGCTGATGAACCTCGTTAACTAAATCCAATTCAATGATAAGGTCAGTTCATTTCTACCAGTGATGCCAAAATATATCCCAAAAATACACGCCTTTGGCATCCATGTCGCGCTGTAATGTGTTCATTACCTGCACCACTGACATCCCTAGGGTCTCTTCCGACGGGCCATTGTTCTTCATTCGGCTGTACAGCTGCTTCAACTCATCCTCGACGACCTCGCGGAATGGATAGTTCGCGCAACTATCCTCTTGTCGAAGACTTTTACGGTACACGAAAGCCCCTTTGGGTACATGCTTCAGTAAGGGGGGCCATTTGGCCAACCGAGCCGTATCTTCTGGTGATGACTGTTCCAGGATGTTATCTGGCTCGAACACAATGAACGGTTCCGGTTCCGTAGCTCTTGAAGGTGACCCCCCAAGGCCAAGATCGGTCGGCGAGATTAAATATCGATCTTCCTTCACGTTCGTCCGAGGAACAGGCCGACTACAGGGCGTCTTGACGTTGGCCTTGGGCTGGACAACTGGACGACTAGAGGATGCCTTTCGACGGCAGCCGCCGCGACCGACTATGGATCGGCAAGCATTCTGATGAGAATGATCACTTTTTGTTGACTGACCAAGCTCACGGTCTGCTTGCGATGCAGTCAGAGGTTGCACTTCCGGGTCTGGGAGATTAAAAATCGGTGGCTGAGTCGTACCAGCTGGATTTGAGCTTGACTGTTCATTCGTGGCCACCGGTCCAGCTGGTCGACTTTTAGCACTTTCTACCCGTCGGGTCTTAGCAGCTTTATCTGAAGTGAAAACCCGAAACAATTGCTACATAAGTTTCTTATCATCCTACGAGATCCAAAAAAATCCAAACAATTATGAAGGACGCACCCGCCCTAGTTTGCCGCGCCGCCGACCTCTTTAACCGAGACCCTTGCAAAGCGATCCCCTTCTCCGGTTCTTCTCCAGACCCAGTTGGATTCCCCTCATTATCCACTGGGGACGCATTGGCACCCGCGGACGCTCGAGTTTTTTCCGGATCCCCCTCATTATCCACTAGGGATGCATTGGTACCTGTGGATGCTCGAGTTTTCTCCGGCCCAGCCGCATTTCTCACGTTCTTCTCCCTTGTGACGCCGGACGGCTTGGCACCCTTCTCTAGCCCGACTTGGTCCGCTGCCTGAGATTCCCGAGGTTTTCTTGTTTTTTTGGATTTAACATGCTTAAGTACCGCGAGACCCGCACCATCTTCGAGAGACAAGAGATCACTACTCGGGGGATTCGCTGAGAAATCAGCCTCGTCGCCTGCGGCTGGAGAAGCCTGATCATTATGAGTAGCTGATTGCCCTGCGTGCCGACAAAGAAAACTTATGTTAGTCCATTCCTCCAGCGAATGCAGCCGAACATAAGATATTTACGCTCAGGAATGGCCAATTTTGCTGCAATCGTTTGGAGCACGTCTAACGGGGTATTCGCATCAATTGTTCCCTTCAATTCGCCTGGGTCCGCCCTGAGCTTTATAAAATTTACCAAATCACGTTTTGTTTTGTTAGGGTCGTAGGGATTGAACAGGTGCTTTTCTCGCCGCTGGGTTCCAGGCTTAGGCATGGTTATCCAAGTGATAAACGAACGAGGGCAATGAATCGATGAAGAAATGAATTTACAACGGACAAGAAGTTTTTGCCTCTGATAATCTAGACTGCACTACTTATCCACGGGTAAGATGATTTATTCGCCGTTTTCCTCTGATGACTTCTCAACCGCAGTACACTAGCACTTACATACATTGCAGGCGAGTGGACTTCTTTCTACACTAGACATCCCGCCACTATAGGCATTCCTTTTATATGACTGCTACTCTCGAACATGCCTATTGTCCATTCCTGTAAGTTAGAGGTTGCACAAGAAATTAATTACCCGGGAAGCAGCTCGAAACCATCAATCCTTTTTTCCCTCGCATTCATCAGCCGATTACTCGTCCTAATTATTAGCATGCAAACGCCGAGAGAAAACACGATTTGAATAGACCAGCTTTGAATAATAATTGCTAGAACACAGAAGCCGAGATTGTGCATTCCTTTTGAAGGAGTCCTGGTCCCATCAATTTTTTTCTGCAATACGTGCTCTTCGCAAACGTATACCTTATAAGTCGAGCATCTTCCTACCTTCCTACCTCCACTTGGCATCAGATCACCAGGGCACCTTGCTTCCATCCCCCAACCCCCTCAACAACCCCAAGCTAAATCCGAGAAGATTCAAATTAGTTTTCAGCCTGATACTGCAAGCGACTTCAACTCCAGGTTTGCATACCATCTAATTAGCCTTTCACTCATTTGCGTCTTCATGACTAACACAACACTGCCTTCCCTTTATCGTCACAGAAATACGAGCCTCTCTGCCTCTTGCGCCTGGCCTCGCCCCCTAGTCCACATTGCGCCGACATCGCTCCACATCTTCAACATCATCCAGGTGCGATTTTTCATTCTCCTCTCCGTTCGGGAGGGACTTTTTTGCTAACAAATCTTTCTAAAATTTCCTGGTTCGAAAACCAAACCTAGAAAAACCTGCACTTCCCGTTTCAGCACAGGTTGTCCGAGCTTGGGCCCGTCGAATACCCATTTGACGTACGTTATAAGCCCCTTCCATCCCCTCATCCAGGATATTTGCCAAATCTCGTGTTACTTACCTTTGACTTATGCTGTGCCTTCCAGCTTACATACACATCAATCTGTCATGGCCCCCTTGAAGAAAAAGAAGGCTATCCGTGTCCAGGTTCCGACTCTTCGCCCTGCTTCTAATAAGCCCATGCCCACGACCTCCGAGCCAGATCTTACCGCTCCCGCGATCCCGGCGCTAGATCTCCCTGTTCACGTCACCCCAGCGCATGGCCTCCCTTCCCCTCCACACACTCAACCCGATAGTACTCATGACAAGCATCCTGCTCAAGATGCCGCTGCGTTGGGCACATCAGACCAAGACACAAACACTTTCGAAGAACTGCCTGGCCCAGATCCTCGCTTCGCAACCGTCCCTGAAGAGCTCAAATTTTATCTCAAGCCGAATGTTGAATTGGACGCCAGACCAAGCACCAAGGCCACGCTGCTCAAGATGATTCGACACTTCTTCTCGGAGTATAAGCCTCGGCCCTTAAACTGTCACAAAGGCGTTTTGATCCGAGCGTTTGAGGAGAAAATCTCCCCCATGATTGCGGAGTATCTTGCATTCCAGGCGCAATGTGAATCACAGCATGAGACAGACGAAGACGAAGAAATGCAGGATGAAGCACCTCCCAAAGAGGATTTATCTGGCATCAATCCCAATAATGCCAGCATTTCGGTGGATTCAATTATAGCTATGATCAAACGACGCCTGCCCAAGCTCCAGCTCCCCACCGGCTTGAACAAATCTTCGGCAATCGGCTTCTTTCACAGATATCTCATGCCGCCCCCACCGGGAGGCTATCCCTCGCCGTTCACGACTGTCCCGAACCCTCTTCCCAAGCCGTACCATAAGTATCTGACTCGAGACGAGTTGCGATTTGCTATCCAATGCCACTGCCCTAATATCTACATCCCTATAGCCACTGGTAAGCAGGTGCTCCGAATGCTCTATGAACAATTTGTCCAGGACGACGTGGCCGAAGAGGAAGTATTTGAGGGGTTCCATTACTATGTCATAATTCCCAAGTGAAAGCCACTGTCGTTACCAGTGACCTTTCCTACTCACATGCCTCATTATGTTCTCATATTTTCAGTTCTCACATTTCTACGTTCTGGTGTTTCTTTTCTATGTGTTTGTCATTTGATTTCCGTCTGAATCAAAAATTGATGTTCCGGTCTACTTATTACTCTTACTACTAGCTGCCGCGGTGACAGGTCTACGAGTATCAATGTAAATAATTTCTATTTTCACCTCACGTGCTCACATATGTTCCCTTATAGCTTGCCCCGGTCCATCCGGTGACCTGTCAACAAGTCAACAAGTAATGTATGTGCATCACCTCATTTCGCTCAAGGAGGCTCAAGGCCCATATGCAAGTACCATAGTACCTAGAATGCGCCACCAGGGGAGGCCGTGATATTTATAAAGATCACGGCCTCCCCTGGTGGCCCAACAAGAAGAATCATTTTAAAGCCGCATGTAAATGTATGCATCTGGACATATTTGCATGCATTCCATTCTAGGTGAGCGCTCATCGTCTCATTGCATCGTCTCGACCGTACATATTTATATGGATACTTCGTTTGCTAACTCTGGATCCAGACGCTTTTTTTCCAACCATGCCACCTCGTCCTCGGAACCCACGTAACGACCGTGTATTGTGTACTTGCTCCAGTCACCAATGTGGAGAGAAACAGTACTGGCTCGATGGCGCTTGGCACCGCGGAGACCTTGTTGTATCCCTTACTGCCCGTCGCCATCAATTGGATGATCAGGCTGAACGCGAGGCGGCTGAGTCTCTGCCCGAAGGCATTATTTCAACACCAAGTACGTGTTATTTTCCTTGGTGTAATCAATCACTTGCCTTACAACTATCAATATACCTTATTGTCCCAGCAGATCACCCGCCCACAAGTCCTACAGACTCTTCGAATCGAGAAACTGAGGTTTTAGAAACCCGTGCCGACGACACTGCTGCCTTAGCTGCCATCACTCAGTCTTTGTCATTGACCCGAATCGGGCCAGCGCCTTTGCAAGCCCATGATCATGAAGTGTACGATACGTGTAAGTCAAGCAGCTATAAGAAACTGAGCATGCTGCATGCAAAAGATCTGACGATTCTTCCTTGACCGTTAATTATGAAAATGCAAATCAAGCCTGCTGGATGATCTCACCGTTCGAATCCACACCACCAGTTTTTACGTATGCAATCCTGATTGCTACAATGTTTTCGGTCCTCCAACCTACATCAAACAATACCTCCTCTTGGCTCTTATGTAGAGAGCGAGAATTGCTCGAGCTTACTCTTCAGCATGGAATCCAATCAGGTTCTCAACCTCGAATGTTAACTGCCACTGAACAAACGAGCCTGCAGAAACTCCCTTCCGACACCCGAAGTACCGTCAAGTGGTTAAAACTCGACCCAATACTTCTATATTTGAACTGTTGCTCCAAATGTTTCGCCACATATCCATTGAATCGGGCGCCGAATCGTTGTATCCATAGCGATGATAAGTTAGTCGATGAAGGCGAAGACGATGACAACGCCGATACATCCGCAGAAGAGAATCTAGTACAAGAAGATGAAGATGAAAAAGATCAGATCAGCACTCAAACCGCATTATGTGGCCAACCACTGTTTCACATGCGCCAATCAAGGAAAACCCCTATTCGGCAATTCGCATACCAATGTCTCAGGGACTGGATCGCTCGTCTATTGTGTCGACCAGGTATCGAGGATGCGCTCGACCAAAGTCTAACTTCCTCACCAGCATCAACCGGGCTTGTGTCCGACATTCACGGCTCAAAAGTTTGGGCTGAATTCAAGGGACCTGATGGCGAACCTTTCACTAGACGATCCGGAAACTTGATATTTGGTTTATTCATCGATGCGATCAATCCTTATGGCAATAAAACCTCCGGAAAGCATGCTTCCATCACCTTTATGGTCTTGGTTTGTATGTCACTTCCCTATCAGCTCCGGTTTCTTCCTCAAAATATCTTCTTAGTCGGAATTGCACCGGGACCTAAGGAGCCTAGTTTGACTCAAACAAACTGGATTCTGAAGCCAATTGTGGAACAGTTGAAAGCTCTGTGGGCCTCTGGTCTAACACTATCCCGAACTCATCGACATCCAGAAGGCCGCCATGTCCGCGCTGCTCTAGTACCTTGTTTCGCCGACCTTCCGGCTTTGCGGCGAGCTTTGGGGTTTCCAGGACACAGCTCAAATAAATTTATGTGCAGTTTCTGCGATGTATCAAAAACTAAAATCAACAATCTCGACATGGCTTCTTGGAACCGTTGAACATCAGAATATCACCTCAAATGGGCACATGCCTTTCGTGACGCGGAGAAATCGAAAGATCGAGCCAAAATATTCAAACAGCAAGGCGTTCGTTACTCTGTTTTGACGGAACTACCTTACTGGAGCCCAACGGAATATCAAACGGTCGATGCGATGCACAACCTCCTTCTCGGTTTATTCAAATGGCACTGCATGCGCTTTTGGGGCATGTCTGAAAAGGCTGTTAACGAAGATTATGTGTTTGGAAGTTCCCATATTCCCAAAGAAGAAGTGGCTGGATTGGCGGCCGAAGCTCAAGAGCATCAAAGCCGGTCCGATAACCCTGATGAAGGAACTGATGAAGAATCCGGTGAAGAATCCGACGGACAAACCGAATCTTCTGGAATGCCTCCATCGAATGGATATCAATTCGGCAGCAATACAGCTACAAGTGATACTAACTGGGAAGGGCCTGATCCTTCCATCTCGGGCTGGGGTAGCAGATGGACTGCTCCACCAGAAGATGATGTTGTATTTGATTCTGCTATGTTACGTGTGGTCAACTCGCTGATCCCTCGCATTCACTACCCAACCTGGATTAAACGGGCTATCCCAGTACTAGGGAAGGCATCCAATGGAAAGCTTAAAGCGGATGAGTGGCGAAACCTGTTTCAGATGCAACTTCCACTCATCATGATCAAAATTTGGTATGGGAGGATTCGTGCAGACATGTCGTTATTGCAAAACTTTGCTCATCTAGTCTCAGCGGTGAATCTTGCTCTAAAGCGATCGACATCTCCTGAACGAATTCACTCGTACACCTACCACATGAAAGAATACCTGGCTAGCTCGATAATTCTCTTTCCTCATGTTGAACTGGCCCCAAATCACCACATGGCAATGCATGTGGGTCGTGAATGCCTTGCACGATTTGGGCCAGTGAGGGCGTGGTGGTCATTTCCGATGGAACGATTAATGGGTGACGTGTTGCATTCAACTCATAACAACCGCCTAGGTTGGCCTGCTTTTTGCTTTGGTTATTTTAGATTGCAGCTGCTAATTATTTTATATATTCATTCAAACTCTTTATAAATTTGTATGTTAGGTCAGTTGGAGATAACTTTTCTGAAAGCGTTCTGTCGGGCCGGAAACTTGCGTGGCATGTTTGAGACTCCGGACTTTTTCCCTGAGGAACTCAAGCCGTACATTCTCAAGCTCAAGAATATGTACGATTCAACGGCCTCTGCCCCTAAATATCTGGCTCATCCACTCCACTCTAATTGTCTGAGCAGTGTTGATTGTCGAAAACTGGTTGATCATCTCAACGCAAAAACCGAGGTTACGAGTTGGGCCGTGGCAAGCGACTGGATTTGTTTAAGTAATGCTGATCAAAAGAAAATTGCATCTCTATCTTCCCGCTGCCAGCCTCACAAACATTTTCACCACATGAATGTCAGTTTTTCCACGTGGGAGGCCAATCTTAACAATAGCATCATCGCTGTCAATTCAACTTTCCCAAAATTGATTCACTTTGCCCGGATCGAAAGAATATTTACTCACATCAGAACAACAACAACAAGCGAACAAATAACCGATACATGGCTGATGGTCAAACCTTTACCGCCTATACCACCAAAAGATGACATCTTTAACCATGTTAATCAACCTGACCTTCAAATTTCCCTTCGCCTTCCAGTTAGTCATGAGGAGTACATAATCAACATTAAAGATATAGTGGCGCACTGCGCATGGATTGATTACAAAGCTGGTGAACTTGTTTCTCAGGTTAAGTACCCAGTAGTTGCGCTAGTATCCCTTGATCGTGAATGAAATGTGATATTTGTCTTTCACGCTATAATTATGAAATCTTACTGTGTCATCTGCCAGTTATACATTTCCCCAATTTGTAAGACATCAAGATCAAGAATCAAGTGAATAAAACAATAGTAACATTGACATGGGTAATCATCAATTAGTACAATTGTCTTTGATTATTCAAGATGTGGCCATTCCACATTCTTGCTTTCAAGGGGGAGTTGAACAGTCTCTCAATTTCCCAAAAAATCCATTTCTTATTCTGGGTGGAGAAATTTTCAACTTTCTTCAATACCCCACAAAAAGATTTAGGCCAAACTGAGCCAATTTAACCTAGAACAAGAGCTAATTAGCTTGATTTTGTTGTGTTTGGGGTATGTTTTTTTGGGCTAAAATGCCTCATCTTTGCTTGCTCAGTTTGCATATTCAATTTTTTATGCAAAAAAAGGTAAAAATTTCTCTGCCCTCCCCAAAAAAATAAATTTTTGGGTCAAATTTGAAATTGTTATATTATATATTATTGCTATTGGTAGACTCACATTTCTTGTTGTGTTGGTTTAGATGTGAATATGGGCTCCTGAGTACCAAAAAAAAACTCGTGGCGATTAGTTTTTTTTTATAAAATTATCAAAAAAAAAATCCCATTTTCCACCAACTCAAATACCATTTTTTTTCGGGGCGAAATCGGTAATGTTTGTAGTGATAATCAGTGATCGCGACAAAACTTGGACCTCACGTTTCTGGAAAGCAATCATGGAACACATTTCGACCCAATTCCACATGACAACTGCTTTTCATCCTCAAGCAGATGGCAGGAGTGAACGAACCAACAAAACGGTAGGCCAAATACTCAGGACTTACACGGCCAAACGCCAGAGTCGCTGGTTAGAAGCCCTACCAGCAGCAGAATTTGCTATTAACTCAGCTATCAATGTGGCCACAGGAGTCAGCCCGATGGAACTAGTTTTTGGGACTCAACCACGCCTTTTCCCATCAACAGGAGGTTCTGAGGACGAACCACTCTCCGTTAAAAAGTGGATCCGACAACGGGAAAGTGCATGGATGGAAGCACGTGATGCACTTTGGACAAGCCGTATCCGACAGGCTCTTCAACATAACAAACGTTGTCGTGATTTACCACCAATTGAGGTGGGATCATGGGTTCTTCTAGATTCAGCCGATTGGCGCAGCCGACACCAGAGTGGCACTGATAAACTCAAAGAAAGGTTTGAAGGACCGTATCAAGTTCTGCGAGTATTCAATAACGGTCAAACAGTTGTTCTTGACCTGCCGGAAGGCGATGGACGTCACCCTTCACTACATGTCTCCAAGGTGAAACAATTTTTTCAGCCAGATGGCACCGCAAAGGTGGAACCCACAAAAGTAAGTTCCACCCAATAATGCACCTCCGGGCTCTTCTACACTCTTGAAGTAAGCATTACCACGGCCACAAGTGTGAGCACCCAACGGGTCATTCTGCCTTACCTTACAGCTGCACGGGGACGAGTTACGCCAAGGAACAACGATGCCCCTCCCTTTCTTTGAAATCTCCTTCCTTCCTTTTTTCTTCTTCTTTTCCTCTTTTCCCTTTTCTCCTTCTCCTTTTCCTTTTTCTTTCAGGTGTTAAATTAGCGATTGCAACTCTTTCTTTTAGGGGGGGAGACTGTGAACCCCGCATCCTTAGGTTTCACAAATCAAGCTTACATAATCATAAACAATACTTAATCCTCAATCGCCCCGCACCCCATCTAGCTCAGTAGAGACCCGACTTCATTTATTCTACTACTGAGCTAGGTAAGCCATCTCACATTCACTTTTTCCCTTATGTTCTTTCATTCTTCTCTTTTCAGTGTTTCTTTTCTCTTTCTCGCTTTTCTCCTTTCTTCTTCTCATTATCATTGTACAGTACTGATGAGAGACCCGACTTCATTTATTCTACTACTGAGCTAGCTACAACGCAATAATATCCTTTGGTTCTAGAATTGGTCTCCAGAGCAGATGGCTCTGATTCTAGAAGGTGTTCTTCGATCGGTTTTAGTGAAGAGTTAAAAGAACTCTTACAAGGCGCCAGGGGGGTAGTGATGACCTGGGGATGGCTCAGGGACAATGACATCCCTGGGCTGCACTGAGTTTTTTAACTGGGACATGACAGGGATGCCAGGTGTTGACAGTGATGTCCTGTGGACACCTTCTCGGCCCAGGGACGTCCCAGGTACAATGGCATCCCTGGGCTGCGCTGATTTTTGTGAAGTGCCCTGCGTGTGTAAGAGCATCCGCATCAGTGCGGGTCAAAGCTAGGGAGGATGGCAACGGTTAGCCATGTGACATAGCAACCGTCACACACCCGCCACATTGGTCATGACTTTTTCAGAACCAACCACCCCTCGACTGCACTAGTAAACTACGACCATACACCACATCCGAAATTGGAATCCCTTTACATGCAGGGCACTTCCCAAAAATTAGTGCAGCTCAGGGATGCCATTGTACCTGAGATGTCCCTGGGATGGGATGCCGTCCACAGGACATCACTGTCCACGACTGGCATCCCTGTCACATCCCAGTTAAAAAATTCAGCGCAGCCCAGCGATGGCAGTGTCCCTGAGCCATCCCCGCAAGCCGCATGCTGTCCCCAGGTCATCACTTCCCCCCCTGGCGTCTGTATCACGTCCCAAACTGACTCAAGCGTCACTTATGGGCAACAGAACAGAATCACCAGGGATTGGTTGACTCTTGGGGTGGTGAATGGCGGATCAGCGCCACTCAACCCCATTGGGAATGAGTCTTGCGCAGTGCACCTGAATGATTTCAAGCAAGGACAGCGGAACCATCCCCTTTTGTCCTTCGTCTGTGTGCCAACAACAACCATCTCCCCGAATTTGCTTATCCAAATCAATTCTGAAGTTGCATTTTTTATATCACCCTTCATCTTCATCATCGTCTTTTCCACTTGCTGACTCCTGTTTCCCCCCTCCAATTGTGCTCATTCAAGACTTGTTCAGAAGAGATGTCGGTTGTTGTTTCCTTGGACTCGGAAAGCAAATACCATGTCATCAGCCCATTGCCCTAGCCAGCACCAGACACACCAGGCCGCCGCGCACGTGTGACAACCCAAGCGACCAACCGAGAGTCTCAGGATGGTCTAATCAGATCAACGGTCCGCCGGGCCCATGGAATTGCTAGCTGAATTCCATTGCGCACACAGACGGGAGTGTCTGCAACTTTTCTGGGCCCGACGGCCCCCGGAAACTCTCTACCTAGTCCTGGTGAGCCTGTTTCATCACCTGATTCTCTGTGTGCCGGATATTGACGTTGGTCATTGTACACACTGTAGCCAGCCGCCACGTTGGTTCAGTCTTTGTTGCAGTTCAAATGAATTGAGGGGAGCATTGTACAGCCGATATTTCAAGCGATCCTCTCAAGCGCTTGGTGTCTTGCAGCTCAATGGAGAAGCTTTCACCGATTAACGAAGAGCTGAATCTCTCAAAAATACATCAATATTTGAATCGTAGGTCATCTATTTCCATCATCGGCTCACTTGAACTTGAAGCTAATTGACCATCTTGACCATCGGATCCACAGCGCGCTTTTGTTGATCACTACCCAGTAATTAACACATGGTCGGATCGAATGTTAGTGGATCGCATTAAGGATAGATTCCCCACAAATCAGGATACCTAAGCGATGAACACGATCAAATTCATTCGATTCTTCCTCATATTCATCCGAACCCGAATTCTCCGCTGCCAAAACCAGCTATCGATGTAAGACTCAAAAGTGGTTATGAAAACCCTTTTGCTGAATGGAGAAGGGTATGTTGGAGTTGCAAGCTCTGCCCTTCTATACTATCAGAATAACAAGACCACCAAGCTTAGCTTGGCAATTTTATATATAGTGATAGGGATAAGTTCAAGATGAAGCTGCTGATTGATATGTGTGAGGGTATAAAGATGTTGTTGACTGTTGGTTATATTGATGAAGTTGTTGTTGATGAATATGGTTCAGGGCACTTTTGGTTTATGAAGATGATAAAAGTGTTAAATCTGTATTTCAATGTATATAATTCTGAAATTGTAATGTGGCTATGACTTGTAGTTATGAAATAATATATAAGATGGATTTCTTTATAAGGGTGGTTGAGATGATCTGGTCCACTGGTGGGATGATGGACACCCTGGTGGGATGATGGGAAGGAACAACTGGCAGGCAGAGGCCTCCTTATATAGACAATGTGAGGGATTTTAGTCCCAGGGTACAGGCTGGAAAGATACTAGCGCAGCGGTTGGGGGATGCATATGAATGAACAAAGGGACGCATATGTATTTTCAAAGGGATGCATACATGCGAGGTGAGTCACTAATACAAAGGGATTCAAAATAACGTAAAGGTATTCAATTTACTACAAAGGAATTCAGTATGCAATATGCATCCTGTATTCATAATGACTATGGCTAGAGTGAAGAATCCAAGAAATATCCTGTGACAGGCTGAAATACGTGTAACTTCCAAACTATAAGAGATAAAGGTATGGTTGTAGTGGGTGACTAGGGGTTATTTTACCTGAGGATTCCATTTTTGATGTCATTTTTACCATATCTTGAATGAATTAAGAGATAATAAGAAATTTTTATATTTTCTGCGTAGAAACACAGTATTATTTACCACATCCTCCCCCAACTTATTGGCTGTCCCCAGTCAATTCTGATTCTGACTGTGTTTTGGAGCTAATATTACAAATAAAAAAAGAACATTTTTGGTCGTGTATAGTTGAGATTTGTCTTGAAGCGTGTTGAGTAGTTGGTGAAAATCATCCGTGGAGTCCTGATTGGCGAAGAATTGTTGAGATTTTGTGATGTTGACGTGACTTGTTTTCAGAGTTTTACTTGATCTGTCCAAGAGTATTGACGCCGGTGGTGCAGTTGATTTGTGTAGTGTCTAGTGTTACTCCAATTTTGATGAGATAGTAATTTTGGTGCCAGATGAGGTGTTGTATTTGATTATTCAGTTGTTTGGTTTGAGATCATTCCATAACAGTAAAAATTCCAAGGTGTTTTTGAAATAATCTTAGTAGAAATTGGGCCAGATAAGGGTTTTTGAACCCAATTTAAACTGTAAAGTTTCTGAGTTTTAGGTTTTAATGTATGCAATTTTTATGGAGTTAAGAAAAAAAAACCTCTGATTATCTAGGTTTTAATCCATGACCTCAAAAATATACAAGCACAGTCATAGGTGCAAAGGTGTGGAGGAATGTGTGGACACAGGGTGGAAGTCAAACTCGAGTCCGCAGCCCTAAACTCCATTCTTACTGACTCGACTACGGCGAATTTACATGCAAGTGATCGGAGGTCGTAGTAGTCCAGTTGCGCTTGGTTTAACGTTCCATGCCCTGTCACAGATCGTGACAGGGTCCGATCGGCCTAAGGACTCCTCGCCAGCCTCTCCGTGGGTCCTCACTCCCTGACTTCTCCCATCTTCTCATCGATTCGGCTTGTCGACTCCTCAACGCTTTCGACTATTGACGATCCTCAAACTAGTCGATTATCCTTCCCCGCGGTAAGTGTTTCCGGTCTTCTATTTTCCTTACTATTTTCTAATTAACTAATCTAAAAAACAACTATCTTCTCTTTAAACTAGTTTTGATCGTTTTTAGTCGATCTCCGCGGCGAGTCTTGCGGATAGCTTTAGCGTCTAGGTAAGTTTCCTTTTGTTATTCGATTCTCTTCTTTTCGCTAGTTTTGTGTATGTAGGTTCTCAGACTCCTCAACGATTCGGCTATTGACGATCCTCGCCAATTATCCATCCCCGCCGGTAAGTGATCCGGTTTTCTAGTTTCTTCTTTTTAGTCATTTTCAAATTAGTAAACTAAAAAAACTAGCTTCCTTTTTCGAATAGTTATTGATTTACTCTCGACTAGCTCCGCGGCGAGTGTTGCGGATAGCTTCGATGTCTAGGCGAGTTTCCTTTCGTATTCCTTTTTCTCTTCCTTTTATTTCTCTAGCCTTGTATAGATTCACTAGCTGATGATCGTTCTTCATCTTCACTCCTTTGCTTTTGAGTAGCGATCCAATGGTTTAGCCTCATCGTCTGGGCTCAAGTCGATCCTCTTTTACATCCTTTCCTAATCGATTTACATAAGAATAAAGGAATGCAAATATGGCCTCCATCATTTGAAAAGGAAGACCGCCGCGATCGAATACATTTGATTAGCCGATATCGTGGATGGGTCAAATCGATTGTTGGTTAATCTCAAAGGATCCTCGTTTCCTTATAAATACTGCCGACTTGTCACCGGTTTCTTTCTTCCCTAAACAGCTTCCTTCACCAACTAAATCTACCCAAAGACCAACCCATCCTCCAGAATCCAAAATCCTCGATTGCGCAGAGTCTTCTTCATAAGTATTCCTTTGTTATTTTAGTCGCATTCAATCTACAAATCTACCCGAGTCGATTCAATTTGATCGTGATACAGTTGTCCTCGTTGTTAGTCCGAGCTTCCAGGCGTTCTGCCATCGTGTACTATAGTCCCAGGCCTTTAACTTGCTTTTGCGATCACTCATTATCCATCCCAGCACTACCTGATTGATTGGATAAGGTGAAAATAAAAATTTGAAGAAAAATAAAAAAGTAAAGTAGGATGATAATTAAGTAAAACCCCTCCCCCAACTAATAAGGTTGTCCTCAACCTTCAAAATAGTGGATTTGAAGTGAGTCTAAGAGTAAGTGTTTTGAACAATAGTAAGTGATTGAATGATTTTGAGAATAAAGACAAACTGAGCCAAGAGATGAAGAGGTGAAAGTGTCTTGGCTGAAAATTGTAGGAATAAGAGAAATAGAAAAATTTGTTGAAAATGTGAGTTAAGTATGAAATTTTCCTCCCCCAACTAATGAGTTTTCCTCAACCTTCTACTCAAAAAAAACCAATGAAGATGATAAGTAAGTGATTGAGAAAATTGATTTATTGAAAAAGAAAAAAAATAAAATAAACCCAGGCCATGATATTGAGATAATAAAAAACTGATAGAGAAATTTGAGGAAAGTAAAAAAAAGTGATCCTCCCCCAACTTAAAAAAATAATTCTGACAGTGGAAATTTAGAATTTGAACTGATGTGATGTTCTTGATTGTCTGGGGATAGAAATAAATGCTGAAAAAAAGAATCAACCCACTCCCACAAGTTTCCTTGGGAGCTTGAACTTTTGATATAGATGTTCTGAGAGTTCTGGTTTTAGGTAAAGTTGAGAAAAGGGTTTCTTAAGTGAATAAAGTAAGAGCCAGTAATATTTTGTTTTCAAGTCAATTTGAGAGTGATTGTTGACTGATTCATTTGAATTCTTTCTGGTTTTGTTGCTTTCATCTTCTAGCCGGTTTAGAAAAAGTGGAAGTGATGGTGTAGTAGATTGATTTGAGGTAGGTTGACTGAGTGTTTTGAAATTTGTGATTTTATTTGAGCTAGAAATACTGATTTGAACATCATTCTGTCCTTCAGGGTTGTTATAGTTATTAATATTGAGTTGTTGAGTATAAATGTAGTTGATTTTTAAATTGTCGCATAAATCCAAATGAGGTTTGAAAAGATTTTTACTGAAAATTTTGTCTTTGAACTTGGTGATATCTTGAATCCAGCTGATTTTTGATTTTATGGGAAATTTTTGAGAGTTTTCTTTTATTTCTGGAAGGTGGAAATCTTGAGTCTGTAAAGCCTTTTTCCCGGATAGTTTTGATTGCTCCACCTGATCTGGTATATCCTTGTAGCCAAGTGGTTCCGATGGTTTGGATTCAATTGTTGAGGAGGTGGGTTTTCTGAGAGTTTCTGCCTCCGTAAAATTTAATTTTGGTGGGTCTTGAATCCTATTTGTCCTGAGTTTTTGCAGTTGGACCGCACCTGTTTTACAAATTCTCAAAAGTAAAAGGAAAATAATCAGAATATTCTTTTTTAATAACATTACCTTTGCAAAATATCTTTTTGTTAGCTTTGGTAGTTTTCTGAATAAATCCAAAAGAAAAGTTTTGAGCCAGTCTAGGAAACCCGGTGTTCTGAATATAACTCTCTTGACTAGCTTAAGTGAGTAATTCCGTAGTTGAACACCGGAATTCATAAAAAATGCTGATATGATTTGCTTCTGAACATGCGATGATCCTCGTTCGGTCGTATATTGTTGTCCTGTATCTTCACGGTATTGGTACTGAGATCCTTCTTATTGTTCCAGCCTCTTCCTTGGCCCGTTCTTGCTAATGGTACTGACACCCTTCGCCCCTTTGTTCCTTGAAAAGAAAGAGTTTCACCATTCTCGTGATATTCCAGAGTGCATCCGTAGTCAAATAAGAAAGGTCGTCCTAAAATACAGTCCTGAGCCTTGGGCGAAACAAATAAATGTGCTGGTCCGGAGAATCGTCCAATTCCAACTGGGCAATTTTCAACTACTCCATTTAAGTCACATCTTGCTCCCCCAACTCCTTTCATTGGTATATTTACTTGAACTAGTTCCAAATCCAAATCTTCCGCTACTGATCTTGGCATAACATTTACCATGGATCCTGAATCTACCATAAATTCCACACTAGCTCCCCCTACTTCGGCTGTTACGTATCCTAAGGCACAGCTGTAGTAGCAAGGGTCCGAGGAATCCTCTATTTCTGGAGTGGTCATGGCTGCTGAGACCTTTGTGGCTTCTGTAGCAATATAAGTTGCACTACTTTTCTCTGGAAGTCGATTCTGAAGTTTCGTGATTATTTGTTCTGTGTAGGATGGTGAGATAGCCGTAAGTTGCGCAAATGTTGTGGGAATTTTTAGATGATCCAACTCTTGCAGCAGAGCTTCTTCTGGCGTTGCAGCCTTATTTTTATTCACTGGCTTTTCTTTACTCCACACTTTCTCTACCACAGGTGTTTTAGGTGTTTCCTCCGTAATATTGGCGAGCTCGTCTTCCTGATCAAGGTCCATGCCATCCTTTTCTGGTTCTTGGATCCGAACACTGCGTCTTCCTCGTTGGCCCTCAGATCGGGTAATTGCGTGATTGGCTAGAAAATTTTCTGCACCTAGTTGTGGTGGATCCCAATCAATGGTTTGAGCTGAGGTTTTCATTGTAGCAGGTGCTTGAGTTTCTCCTGATTTAAGGGATTCTGCTAATTTTCTTGCGGCTTCTTGCATTTGAGGGTCCGCTGATGCTGTAGCTACTACTGTTCTGATAGGTCTCGCAGGATTCCAAGGTATGTGTTGTCCATTTGGTAAATACCAGTCTTTTCCGTTACGCCTAACTAATCCTTGTTCTTCGTCCTTTAAAAGTTCCTGACATCGAAAGGTTCCGTGTCCCTCCCTCTTGCAGTAGTAACAAACTTGAGTTTCATACAACGGTGTTGAAGGTTTGGCGTTTCCTCTAGTAAATTCTGATTTTTCGTTGGATCCGGATTGATTGTATGATACAGGGATTATGCTCTTCAGTTGAGACTTGAGTGAAGCGATTTCTCGAGCCATATCTTCTACTTGCTTGTCCATGGCTTGTCCTGTAGGTGCTTCCGCAATCATCTGATCTCTTCGTTGGCTGTTTCCCTTCTGAGCGTTCAGTTTATTCTGCATCAATTGATTAGATTCGCCAAATCCCGTAATGTTAAAGTATCCAGGTTCCACAATCCGTACTTCCAGTCTTGATGCTTCAACCAAGTCTTCCCAGAGTGGAGGTAAATTGCTGCCATCTGGTCCCTTTGGAAGTAAATCATAACTAATTAGGGTGCGTTTGATATTTGATTGGCTTTCACGGGAAAATGCACTCAGAAAGAGTATTGAGGCATCTGATTTCTGATGTATTTGCTTATTGGTTACTAAGTATTTAAGGATGGTGGTGAATTTTCCTAAGTAAGATTTGAATTCTCGATGATCCTTGATTCCGCCATTTACTCCATATTCTTTTGTAACTTTAACCAGGTCGTTGCAGGTGTACAAGATTGTGTTGTCCAATTCGCCCCAGGTTTCGACCATTTCCTTTCGTAGTTTCGCCCATTCACATTTCTCAAACCCATCCATGGCTTCTAATTGGAGTTTGAGTTCCTCGGTCTTCATGAATCGTCCGATTTGTAACGCCTTATCGTAGTCACTTGCATTAAACGCCCTAGCTGCTCTTTCAAACCGCATCAAAAATTTTCCAAAGTTTTCGCCATCGTAAAAAAGTCCTGGTTCCTTGATAATTCTTGGTGCTATTTGTGGGATGGGTTGCTGATTCATGTTTGCTTGATTGTCAGGTTGTTGTTGTTCTCGATTATAAACTGGTTCTCCCGCATTCTGAGTGTTGTGAATTCCGTATCCCGAAACAGGAGGTATATTCGTTCCTTGAGGTGTAGTATCTCCTATATCCGAGTCTTCATCTGTTGTATCTCGCATTTGACTTGCTTTTCCTTTTCCTTTGTCCTTTGGTGGTGGTGGCATCGTGTTTTCCGAATTCCAATTGAAAGCTGAAGAGGATCCCAAAGGTCGATTAAAAGGATGGTTCCTAAAAGGGGTTGATGGTGCGAATCCGTCTTCCAAATCTGGTGTACTGAATGGTAAACTCATGTTGATTGTGATTGATTTTCCTAGTTTTCCTTACTTAACGCTCCTCTGATAACTAAACTAACGGTTGCTCTGAAAAAGAAACAAAATAATACTATGGTCTCTGGTCTCTTTACCAGGGCAAGTTTTATGATTCTCTAAAATAATAATTCAAATAATACTGGGAATTTCTCCTTCTAACAGGATCTACTTATCCAAATCCTTCGGTGGTCTTCCTTCTTTTGGTCAATAAGCAGCTGCTTCCTTCGAATAGTTCCTAAGTTCTCTTCAAACAGTATCCAAGTTATCCAAATCCTTCGGTGGTCTTCCTTCTTTTGGTCAATAACTGGCTGCCTCCTTCGAGATACTCGTTTTCAGTTGATGGTTACACTTTCTTTTCCAGAGGTTCGTTGATTTTTTCGTTGAATTGTTTTATTGAAGTTTGACTAGTTGATCAACAGAATAACTGAATATGCCGTTGAGTTGTTACAGATATAGTTGCTGAATTCGTTCCGTTTACCGCTAAAGTAATGATCCTTGGTCGATGTCTTCTTGATTATCTTCTTGTTTCGTTTAAAATTGGTCACACGATTCCAATCAGAGGTTATCCTATCACGTTGGGGACTCCCTTGTAAGACTCAAAAGTGGTTATGAAAACCCTTTTGCTGAATGGAGAAGGGTATGTTGGAGTTGCAAGCTCTGCCCTTCTATACTATCAGAATAACAAGACCACCAAGCTTAGCTTGGCAATTTTATATATAGTGATAGGGATAAGTTCAAGATGAAGCTGCCGATTGATATGTGTGAGGGTATAAAGATGTTATTGACAGTTGGTTATATTGATGAAGTTGTTGTTGTTGAATGTGGGTCAGGGCACTTTTGGTTTATGATGATGATGAAAGTGTTAAATCTGTATTTCAATGTATATAATTCTGAAATTGTAATGTGGCTATGACTTGTAGTTATGAAATAATATATAAGGTGTATTTATTTATAAGGGGGGTTGAGTTGATCTGGTCCACTGTAGGTGGTGTCCCAGGCGTGTGGGATGATGGAGGGAACAAATGGCAGGATGAGGCCTCCTTATATAGACAAATGTGAGGGATTTTGGCCCCAGGGTACAGGCTGAAAGATACTACTACAAAGGGATGCATATGAATGAACAAAGGGACGCATATGTATGATCAAAGGGATGCATACATGCAATATCACTAATACAAAGGGATTCAAAATAACGTAAAGGTATTCAATTTACTACAAAGGAATTCAGTATGCAATATGCATCCTGTATTCATAATGACTATGGCTAGAGTGAAGAATCCAAGAAATATCCTGTGACAGGCTGAAATACGTGTAACTTCCAAACTATAAGAGATAAAGGTATGGTTGTAGTGGGTGACTAGGGGTTATTTTACCTGAGGATTCCATTTTTGATGTCATTTTTACCATATCTTGAATGAATTAAGAGATAATAAGAAATTTTTATATTTTCTGCGTAGAAACACAGTATTATTTACCACATCGATATGGTCGCTCACGTAAAATATCTGGTGCTAGTTGCACGTCCCAGCTATCTGGTTTGTTGAAATCTGATGCCCCGCCGCTCCAGTTCCTCATGAATAGACTGACACAACTGCTGAAATCAATTGTTGAAATGGACTCAGACTTTTCCGTGCGCTGTCTCCTCCAGAAAGTACCACCATCGAGCAGTTTCTTTTCAATCCTGGCTCACACCGCCTCTGGGGTTTCAAATTTCAACCCGCCAGTACAACATGATGCTAGCGCTAGGCCTGGCACATATATCAAATTTGTACGTTTGATGGAAATGTTGATAAGCCGCGTGAAAACTGGCAACAATTACAATCCGCACTTTGACTGTTGTGTTACGGCAATCCATCTTGGGGTGTGTATGCTGATAGTTTTTGTTTCTCTTTTATGCAGTTTTGCACTGTTGCATTTCTCAATCAGAATTTTTAGTTTTTTAGTTTTGTTTGTTGTAAGCAACCAAGTGTATGTTTCTGTGGGCTATTGACAATAAATACCAATTCACACTTTGATTCACTAGTGTCAGCACATTGGTGTGCGAATATTGTGCAGTGGGTTTCCTGAAGATTTCTGGTGGTTGTGTGTGTGTGTGCTGCTTGATGACATTTGTTTTGCCAAAAAAATGCCAAAATGCCGTCTGGGTGACAGCTCAGAGATGGCATGTTCAATGGTCTTCTGGATGTAATATTTTGGAGAAGACGGCCCTGAAATACCTCCTAGCTATCCGTAGGATGCTGTGGGGGGACGTCACATGGACACTCCACAAGGACGTCCCAGGGCTGGCCTTTTATTTTGGGAGGAGCACGCGCCTGGGATGCTCTGATCTGTGGAGGCTGCTGTCCTGGTGCCAGCCCCCTGGACCCTGCCATTTGGACGTCCATGTGCACTGGGGGTGTATAGATGTCGCTTTGGTTCTTTCAACTCAAGGAGCATGCGCAGAGACTTTCCGATTTCGATGAAGAAGCGGATGAACACAATCGTAATCTCATCAACATGCTCTTTGAAGACTCTGACGATGAAATTGAGGATCACGAGCGCCAACCTGTCCTGAACCGTATTCCCAACAAGAACCAAAATGCCCTGGCTGGCCACGAGCAACTCATGAATGACTACTTGGTCAAAAACTCGGTATACAGCGAAAAGAATTTTGAACGCCGCTTTCGTGTGACAAAAGGTGTTTTTATTTGATTGTGCAACGACTTGCAGACAAAGAATTCAACATCTTATTTTATTCAACGAGCGGTGAGTAATTTGTTTTAGTAAGTTTTCTTAACTTGTTCTGATATCAATGATTCTATTCTCAAAGGATTGCACAGGGAAGCTGGGGCTCACAGCGCATCAGAAGATAACCTTGGCTCTACGACAACTAGGATATGGGGTTTCCTCGGATGCAACAGACGAATACGTTCGCATTGGGGAAACGACTGCTCGCGAGACACTCAAAGTTTTTACTAGATCAATCATCAAAATCTACGGCTCAGAATACTTGAGAAGGCCAACTCAAGATGACTTGAGAGGGATCCTTCGAGAGAACGCAACCCGGGGCTTCCCAGGCTGCTTGGGAAGCCTCGATTGTATGCACGTTGGATGGAAGAACTGCCCCCGAGCCTGGGCTGGACAGTTTACTGGAAAAGAAAAAGAACCAACAATAGTACTTGAAGCAGTTGCCACGAAGGACCAGTGGATCTGGCACAGCTTCTTCGGCACCCCAGGAACAAACAACGACATCAATATTCTAGATTGGTCACCACTCTTCGATGATGTACTCAATGGTCAGGCACCCACCGTTTCTTTCTCTCTAGATGGCCATCGATTTGACTCCGGCTACTACCTTGCCGATGGGATATACCCATTGTGGTCGGCATTTGTTAAATCAGTTCCCAACCCTTCCGACTCAGACTTAGCCACCAAGAATTTCAACTCAAATCAAGAGGCGGTCCGAAAAGATATGGAGCAAGCATTTGGTGGCCTTCAAAGCAAATGGCACATTCTGACCACCCCTATTCGAATGTGGTATGAGGATGATATCAAGTCAATTGTGTTGTGCTATATTGTACTACACAATATGATGGTGGAGGAGGGGATCTCGGATTTTGTTAGCGATCCAAGTCCAGCGCCATCTGGTCAAACATTTTCTATTATCTCAGCAACACTATTGAACACCTTTCAAGATCGCCGTCAAGTCGCAAATACCATCCGATTGGAATGACTCCATCGAGACTTGACAAACACTCTAATTAAGTGGCAATGGGATCAAAAGGGGAATCATCATTCCACCTGATCTTCAATCTGGTTATCTAATTTTTTTTCTTAATTTTCCGTTTTCTCATGAAGTTATTCATCTCGTGTTTTGTAAATTTTATGAGTTGTTTCATTGTTTCATTTTATCCTCCATGTAATTCTCACCCCTTGTGGAAGAAATGCATACATATTGATCCAAATTCAAGTTGAGTATAAAAAAAGAAAATGCAAGGGTGTTTGGACCCAAACTGTATTCATTTCTAAAAAAAAAGAGAAAAAAAAAGATAGAGCAAGCAACTGGTTACAAAGTGATTTAACGTAAAAGCGAGCAGAAGAAAGCTGTAAGAAGATGAAAGAGAGATTGAGGTAAAGAAAGCAGGAAGAAAATGTAGACCGATCATAAGAAGGCTGGGTCAATGTTGAGATTGTCGCAGGCATCACCAACTGGACCATCGTGGTCCTCGGCTCCCTCTTCTTCGTCATCAACCTGCGATTCGTTGGGTTCCGATGTAAGATTGAGGGGATCGCAATGAGAAGAAGCAAGAGCCTCGGTCCTGTTGTCTTGACTCTCAAGATTGGTTGACGATGATGGGGCTTGATCGTTGGTTGGTGGAGGTGGGGGTGGCTGATTCTCGGCCTCTTCCAACTTCTTGAGGATGACCTTCTTTGCTCTTGTGTAATAGGCTCGTTCGAATTTGTCAACACACAATGAAAGATCCTTCCCCAAAATGTCCATCTCCACTCTCCACGACCTTCTCTTGTAAGTCGTTTGCGCGCGACATTTTCTTGAAATCTCTTCTGACTCAATCGCGGCTCTCTTTGGGCTGATGTCTCCATTAGTTCAATTCTTCTGGAGGATTTGTTCTGGGTCAAGCCTTTTGCTGCTTTGACCCCAGTCGGTCGTCTCCGTCGTTTTCGCTAGGAGAATCGGCAGCCTGTTCGCTAGTCGGTGTATTTGGCGGATTTGGAAACAGTGCCCACTGGATTGCGGCGGTGCTGGTGAAGCGGATTGTGATTGAGAGTTGGGAAGAAGTGTCAGCCTTAGAGCCAGCCAAGCTGGCCAAAAGACTGCCTAAGTCCCCCCCTTTTCATCCATGTTCCTACGGTAACTTATTCAGCTTAAGATTTTATTACATTCTGGCTTCAGAAATGAATTCCTCATTTAATTTCAACCATGGTCACCACTGACCAGTTTTACACTACTCTTCTCCTTCATTGACTTTGTAACATTTCACCGTACCTTGTGAAATACCAACCAAATTGGAATTCCATCTCTCCCAACCACATGTACATGTAATGATTATGTCATCCAACTTTGAAAATCCTCTCTGAGCTTGTTGATTCCGCTTCCAGAGGATTTTCAGACTCCAGACCAACTCAGAACCACAACAACCAGAACCAGATCAAGCCATCACTTATCAACCAGAAGTACTCCCCTTTTCCCACCTTTCCCACTACACAGTGTCATTGGTGTCATTAGTAAGTAACTTCTTATAAGTTTTAGCTAGCATCTTTCTGCTTGTTCTCTTTCTCAGTTTCTCTCAACCTCTCTTCATTCCTCATCAAACCAAAGCCCTGATCAAAGAAAGCAAGCTCTAGCTTCTATTATCTCAACTCTTCCTGTTTGGTAGTACAACTGAAAACTACATAGGTTTCCCTTTAAAGAGCCTTGATCTTTGATCTAAAAAATTGTGGTTGATCTGATTCATCAGTGTCAATAACCCATTTCAGTTTCTGTTGATTTGGAGGCGTCAGAGTTAGCTCCGCTTATAACAGCCATCCTACCAGGAAAGTAAGACTGTCAGCAGCCATCCAAAAAGAGACAGTAAGACTGCCAGAACTTTAATCATCATCTTAAAATAAATAAAGAACAAAAATATTACCTATTTCTTTCACTCTTCTTCTCCCTTTCTCTTACTTTTATTTGTATCTCTCTTCTCATAAGAAATACATATAAAAGTGCCCCCCACATCTTGTGTCCTGCTGTCACTATAGAGACCCAGGCTCACAATTGGGGGCCTCATCGGGAAATATCTATTCCAAAGACCTCTCTCATAATCATACTTTCAAACTTAATTCATCAGGCCAATAAAATAAAAATATACATGCTCTCTTCTTTTCTCTTTCTCCATGAAAGAACAACACTCATAAATAAATAAAAACTATAGATAATTTCTGTTTTTTCAATTATCCAAAAACATACTTCTCAACTTTCCATTGCGGAGCGCTTGCAATTTTTTTCTATTTTTTCATTGCAAAGCGCTTGCCAAAAAAAAAAAATATTTCCTCTATTCGATCTGAATACTCAAACGAGAATCTTCGTCAATCAAATCACCGTTGTCTCTTTCCTTTTCCTCAACCGACCGAATCTACCTCCTTCGCTTGCGAAGTGAAGAAAAAATAAATGTATCATACCCGATTCTCCGAGCAATTCTCCTACCGTCATAATTTGCGTAGTGAAGACAAGAAGTGTTTTACCCAAAACGACACTGGTTTCTCCTCATTGATTGTCATCTCCTCTATCATCGATCGCTTTTTACATACAAGCCAATCTAGATCTTACAGAAAAACAAATGCTAGCCCCCAGAGAAGGTGATCTCATCTCGTTGGCTGAGTGGACTGGATCTCATCTTGTAATTGGCCGAGTGGACTCCAATAGCCACTACTAGTTGTCCGAAACCATAAAAAAAAAAGAACAGCAAGAAATTTTAATCAAACCTGCAACATCTTTTCATTTATTTGTTCTTTGATCAATCGAACCTACCTCCCTCTATCCGCAAAGTGAAGACCTGAGATACCACCTTTTTTCTCCTAAAAAAAAATAAAATCCATCGCGAAGCGCTTGCTTTTTTTTTCAGCTACCATCACGGAGCCTCACCGATATTCTCTTCCAAACATCCTCCTTTTAAATTGAAAAATCTACCTTCAGAAAGAAATCAGTGTTAATCAAACCACTGTTTTTTTCTTTTCAATTCTCTCATTTTTGATCTACCGTTGCAACTCTCTGTGAAGTGAAGAACAGTAGAAGTGTGATACCCGATACACCACCCGACTCTCCTGTTCATTCTTTGGACCTGTAGTTGATTCCTTCGGAAGTAGAAGCTTATCTTTACCTTCTAGAAAAGCAAACTCTTGCTTGTCCTCACAAAGAAACTCTTATCTCATTGACTGAGTGGACTCCTATATACAGCGACTATACCTCTGAAACAAAGAATTAAAGGAAAAGAAGAAGAAACGAATTGAAAAGCGTAACAAAAAGCCAACTAGCAGAAGAGTAATACCCAATTCTCCAACCAAGTCTCATCCCCCTCCATCGTTGGAGCTCTCGTCGATCTCGTCAGACGCAGAAACGAACCTTGATCTCCTAGAGTAGCAGACCTTAGCCCCTCCAAGAGAAGGCAACTCCATCTCAGCGAGCGAGTGGAGCCCAACAGCCACTTCCGATACCTCTAGAGCTAGAAAATACACAAAGAAAACCTTACCCATTGAAGCCGAACCTGCTCATTTTCCTGAGTGGACGCCGACTGTACCCTCTAAAAAACCAAAGTCAAAAAGAAAACCTCACAGGAAGAAAAACGAAGGTACTTACCCCTTTTGTTTCAAAACTACTCATCAATTGATTGATAAACGCTACGTAAATTCTCATGATAGAAGTAGATCGTTTGAAGGTCAGAAGGTTGCAAAACCAATAGACAGAAGATCAGAGCTTGAAGGTTGCCTTCTGGATTCTGATCGCTACTACTAGTAACACCTTTAACAAAAGAAGGAACCTACAAAAAGAAATATCTGTTGAACAACAGCAACTTGACTCACAGTGCCTCAGATTCTTGTTTTTGAGATAGACCTACTGAGCTGCAGGAAGTCATTCCCCAATAATCAACCTAGCAACAACCGAGCGGCTTGAAAGGCTCAGGGTATAGTCTTCCGGCAATCAACGAGCTCGCTATGAGGCCACAGGTGGACGATTTTCACCTGTCCTGGTCATGTCAAACAGGTCAATAACAGTACCACCCCCGATGGAGCGCCAGACCTTTGCAGTCAGCTAAGAGAAACATGTCGGAGTAGACCATCATATTCTCTCTTGGAATCCTCATGTACTCCATCAGAACCACCACTAGGTTCAGAATCCTTTGACCATGCCTGTGGAAACCAACCATAAACAATCAGGAGTTGGAGACTGTTACAAACCTCTCAAATGGCCACTAATTACCAATTTTATAAGTGCAACACAATATTGCCCTGATCTAAACAAATCTCAAGAAGTCAACCAGAACCTTACAGTTTTATAACTTGGCTATTCTCTGACTCATCTTATATTTGACGCTCTGAAGACCACATAGTAACCTTTTCTCTTTGTCATTGACCATTAGAACCAAGAATACATCTTCCCTAGCCTGATAGGAACCCATGTGTTGAGTTGTTGCTGTAAATTTCAAACCATAAACTTGTTGTTCTGGGTTGTTCAGATCAGAGATGTTCAAGATTGCTTTTGGTTCTCAAGTTTTACGACCAAGATTTCCTTACAAACATCAACATTCGATCCTTGAAAGACTCCGCCTAACAAGAGTAACTAATCCAGCAGGATTACCCTCGGAAATTGATTAACAGATCAATCTAGATCACGATTAAGAAAGACTGAAAAGAACTTGTCTATCTAGAACGAACTTCCAAGCATAACACTTATCAACACATGTATGTTGAATGGGAACGATCCTTCAAAATTGACTGTTCTTGATATGTTGTATTCAGCTTGAAAACAGCTGGTCACTACAGTGTTTTCATCATCTATCTGGTCCTTTCATGTTTTGTAGATTGCAATGAAAACTGTTCTCCTTTTACTCCTTTCTCAATTGACTAAATCCGACTACCTTGAGTAGAGAAACACACTGGCTTCCACCTTTAGAGCAAAAACGATTGCACAAATATATATATTACTCCCTCATTTCTCAGTCGATTTTAACGATTGTTAGCTCATTAGAACCGCAAGAAAGCAGTGGATCGATCGATCCGATCAAAATCAATCTAACATATCTCACTTGATGTTTAATCTATACACAATCATGACAACTCAAATTCACTTCTATCTTTCTTGTTATTGAACGGATTTCCTTGATTTCTAGTTTATTAAGTTCACACAGAAGCAAAGAACTGGCTGATTCAATCAATCCATTCAGTTCATGATTTCCAAGAAGAAACTTGATTCAGAAACCTGTTGAAGATATTCCGATCCAAAACAATATAGTTAGATTCTTAGTTGAGCTGTAAAGCAAACTACATTGCACAATCAATTGCCTATCAGCTTTGTTTTCTATTCAATTTCAATGATTAATGGCTCATCAGGATTTCATGAAGGCTGCAAATTCTATTGGTATAATCAAAATCCTTGTAGTGAAGTCCTTATGATTTTAAGAAGTAAAAGAAAGAATAAAGGTATCTCCACTACATGATTGTAGCACCAGCTGTTAATCAAGATCAACTCAGCTCCTAAGTTGTTTCATGAATTTATACCAGAATAGATAATAAACAATAATTCCTCAACCTTTGGCTAGATCACTCATGGTCAGACCTGCTTAACTCTGAATTATGTCTTCTCTTCAGTTGTAGTAGGAAATAAGAAATTCAAGTAGTTGTCAATTCTAATTCTTTTGCCAAATCAAAATGGCACAATTTCAAGCTCATATCATTCTGAGTATAAGGTAAACACAGCTTGTGACTGGAGCGCTGATTTTTTTTTCATAAAACCTTGTAATCAGAGGTAGTAAAACAAGTGCAATTTCATGAAGCAGATTATTTCTCTAAGTTGATTGGGTAGCAGCTGTGAAAATTTATGAGATTCAAGTGAATAATTAGGCTAAGAATATTGAATCAATTCATCTTCACATCTATGGAATGGGTTGGTCTTTAATCATACATATGGATGTGATTTATATGACACATACTGTGTTACTGGGAAACCAAAAAGAATAACTGACTGAAGAGATGAATGGGATCAGATTATCTTGTTCCTCATATCTTGCCTTGATTGGATGGCTACCAATGAACACATCTGCTTTGCATATTATATGATTTGGATTGTTATTGTCTCATCAAATTTTGAAATCATCAAGTGAAGCTTATAAATCAATCAAAGAGCTAGAACCACTGATTGAAAAGACAGAAAACTGATAAGGTGAAAAATAGTACCCAAGATAGGATGAAGTTTTGAAAATGCAAACAAGAACATTTTAATTCTTGGTATACATATTGGAAATCATTGAATGCATGTTTCTCATTCATTATTTTGTATAAATCAGTGGTCCATTACAATCACCTAGACATAAAGAAACAACCTGAAAACTTAAGGTCTTCATAGATTTACATTCACAAAACTTACTTATGGACATTGCATGTTATTCTCCATGGTTATACATTTTTAGCAAGCCAAATGGTAAAACTTTGTATTTTTTGCTTCTCTGTAGAGCAATTAAATCTATGAAGAGTTCCCCAGAATCACTCCAATTCAAGTTAGAAATTTTACATTGTTGATAGCAGGATAGCCAACCATCTTGAGTAAGAGTATCAATAATAACACTTGTCTTTAGTGTTTTCTGATAAGTCAAGTAACACATTTTCACCTACCACTACCAACTCATACCCAGGACTAGCATAGGTGAAGTTTTCAGCTATATATCTTAGTTTAACCTGTGAGAAACAGAAATGAATAATCCAGTGGAAAAGAGATTAAATTGCATTAAATAATGAGTCCATGGATTGGAAGAATGATAATTCCTTGAAAGCTACTATATCTATAATCAACATTTAACTCATCAAAAACTACTCAGCTGCCTTTTGGACCCATTCTCACATATATAAATTGGCCAGAAGAATTCTTCCAATTCCACAGAAAATTTAAGAAAGTTCTCTTCAACAAATCAAGTGATTCTACAAATTTTATCAAGCAAAGATAGGAGGTACAACCAAGACTCTAAAATTTATAAAGATATCCATTTTTTTCCAGCCAAAATTTTGCCTCTTCAATGGGATGCTCAACCTTTTCTCAAATTATACAATATGGTGGGATCCCCTGAAAGTAAAAACACATGTATCCCAGAAATTTGATACAGCCACAGTAAAGGGATTTAGTCTATCTAGTATGGATGAAGATTTAAGATCCCTCTAAGCTTGAATATAAGATAACTATAGATTATTTGAATTCCCTAATTGCTTGGTGGATTATAAAATTTTATCTACTATCTTTGTACAAACATTTGAGAGGATTTTCTTGTATACGTTTTTCTCAAGATGAATGTCATAATGATCACTCCTGTGTTTTTATTTTGGAAAATTGTCATATAAACATGGAAGATTAAGTATGGATACACACTGAATACCTTGATTACAGTAAAACTGAGAGCAGATAACAGGGATGTCAAGATGTATTTAGCAAAGTAAAAGAGGTCAATTTCTGAACAGGAAAAATTGCTTGTACAAAAGGAATGCATTAAAGCAACACACTCAGCAGCAGATTAAAGGTTCCATTTCTTGGAAATGAAACCTCTTTGGTGGTATGGAATGTCAGCCTTAGAGCCAGCCAAGCTGGCCAAAAGACTGCCTAAGTCCCCCCTTTTTCATCCATGTTCCTACGGTAACTTATTCAGCTTAAGATTTTATTACATTCTGGCTTCAGAAATGAATTCCTCATTTAATTTCAACCATGGTCACCACTGACCAGTTTTACACTACTCTTCTCCTTCATTGACTTTGTAACATTTCACCGTACCTTGTGAAATACCAACCAAATTGGAATTCCATCTCTCCCAACCACATGTACATGTAATGATTATGTCATCCAACTTTGAAAATCCTCTCTGAGCTTGTTGATTCCGCTTCCAGAGGATTTTCAGACTCCAGACCAACTCAGAACCACAACAACCAGAACCAGATCAAGCCATCACTTATCAACCAGAAGTACTCCCCTTTTCCCACCTTTCCCACTACACAGTGTCATTGGTGTCATTAGTAAGTAACTTCTTATAAGTTTTAGCTAGCATCTTTCTGCTTGTTCTCTTTCTCAGTTTCTCTCAACCTCTCTTCATTCCTCATCAAACCAAAGCCCTGATCAAAGAAAGCAAGCTCTAGCTTCTATTATCTCAACTCTTCCTGTTTGGTAGTACAACTGAAAACTACATAGGTTTCCCTTTAAAGAGCCTTGATCTTTGATCTAAAAAATTGTGGTTGATCTGATTCATCAGTGTCAATAACCCATTTCAGTTTCTGTTGATTTGGAGGCGTCAGAGTTAGCTCCGCTTATAACAGCCATCCTACCAGGAAAGTAAGACTGTCAGCAGCCATCCAAAAAGAGACAGTAAGACTGCCAGAACTTTAATCATCATCTTAAAATAAATAAAGAACAAAAATATTACCTATTTCTTTCACTCTTCTTCTCCCTTTCTCTTACTTTTATTTGTATCTCTCTTCTCATAAGAAATACATATAAAAGTGCCCCCCACATCTTGTGTCCTGCTGTCACTATAGAGACCCAGGCTCACAAGAAGGGTCGGCGCTGGTGTCTTATCCAACAGGATTCGCCATTTTGGGGTATCTCGGAGCTTCATCCACGCACTCTCGAAGACAAACGGCTTTCCAGTTTGATCCAAGAAGAGTGTCTTTGCCTGACTAAGCCAATCGAGTGTCTCGCTTCCAGACGGTGGGTTGCGCTTGATGGATGCGTATATCCCGCAAAATTTCGTCACAGCTGCCAGGAGCTTGGCCCACCTGAGAAACGAAGTGAACAAAATCAACAGAGTGGATTATAAAAATGATAAAAATGAAAAGTTACACTTACCGAGTTGAAAGATCTTTTCCTTCTCGGTGACCTCCAGGTGAGTTTTCATTGAAATGTTTGGCCGCATGCTCCCAAAACTGATCACGCTTCATCACGTTTGCATAGATTGGATTCTGTGATGTGTGGAGCCAGCTCCTTGCTAGTTGTGTGTTGTGGTCATTATTCCTGTGTATGAAGGGAGAAAATTCAAAATTTTATTATTTATCAATGAAGGACTCAAGATATGGAAAAGTGGACGTCAGAAATGGAATCTACGGCCAATTTAACCCCTAGTCACCCACTGGAACCACCTTCACATGCCTATCTTGATAAGGAAAAGAAAAAATAAAGCAATGTGTTCAAAGGATGCCCCAAAAAAGCTATTGACCTAGTGGTGAATTACTTTGAGAAGGAGGTCACAGTACCAATTTGGGCTCACCGGTTGAGCAGGCACCAAAATCACTGCAGCAATGGTGGAAAAAGAATACATGTCAATCTGAATTGGCTGAAAAAAAGTGCATTGACCCAGGGGTGAAAGTATTTGAGAGGGAGGTTCCAGTGAAGTTTTGGGTGGGTTGTATGTGCTCCAGAAGGTGCACTCTCTCAATTCACCAAACAATTTATTTCCCCAGAAGTTCTTGGAAAAAGAGCAGTTGTGTCCTCACCTGCCTTCTTCCACTGAGACTATTCTTTCTTACCAATTATTTATTCTTGTGAGTTTCTCTCCTCAGTTAATTATCTCTCTTTGGTGACCTTTTCTCTGATTGTCTTTCTTCGTTTTTCTAAGCTCTACCAATACAACAATATTAATTATCCATGATATGACAACCAACCAATTAAAAGTTTAAGCCATAACAATTACAAATGAGCAAGTAAGATGAAGTAGGCAGTGGAACCAGATTCTACCTCGATAGCTGGCACCTCTGGGTTGAAATAGATTTGCAAGAAAGAGGCTAGTAGGAGCATATAGTTTGTAGAGTATATTTCTATCTTAAAAAGGAAAAGGGAAAAATAAAGCAATGTGTTCAAAGGATGCACCAAAATAACTATTGACCTAGTGGCAAATTACTTTGAAAAGGAGGTCAGAGTGCCTATTTGAGCTCACTGGGTGAGAAGGCACCAATTGCACAACGGAATTGGTGGTAAAAACAAGAGGAAATTGTAGATAATTATTTGTCATAGCTCACACTTCTACCAGGCCATCTGAAATAGCTGAAAAAGGTGCACTGACCTAGAGGTGAAAGTATTTGAGAGAGAGGTTCCAGTGAGTATGTGGTTGAGTGGTACGTGCTCCAGAGGGTGCATTCTCTCAATTCACCAAAGAATTATTTTTCTAGAAGTCCTTGGAACAAGAACCGGTATTTCACGGTGTCAGATTGTTGAGTTAACACCCACCTTCTTCTACTGGGAGTTTTATTTCTTACCAATTATTTATTTTATTCTTGTGAGTTTCTCTCCCTAGTTAATTGTCTCTCTGGTGTCTCTTTATCTGATTGTTTTCTTTCTATTCCTGTATCAAAATTTGTGAATTTGATCATATCCTTGCCCTTGATTGGTGAGTATGTTTCAAAAGCACTGTGGAATTGAGCAGGGAAAGTGAAAAAAAGCCCATTGACCTAGAGGTGACAGGTCTTGAAAGGGAGGTCCTAGTAATTTGTGGCTGAGCTGTATGTTCTCCAGAAGGCACACTGTGGCACTTGAGGAAACAGTATGGCTAATACTGTTCCTACAAGTCATTGGCAAAAGGGCAGCTGTGTAAGCTCAGTGAGTCACGTCATGCCCTTTTTTATGTCTCTCTTTTTAATTTTTTATTGTGATGTGTTGAAATCATCAATTGATTGACTCCCTATGTTATTACTTTCCATGATTGTCTTTTATACAACATTAATATCCATGATTTTAATTCTGTGAATCCCACATACACAGGGAATATAGCTGTCTAGTGTTTTCATCAGACGTATGGGCGCCCAATGATGTCTACCTGTCTACCTGGTGTAGGGGAGAGGTAGACCAGGTAGACCATTGGTCATTGGGCCTTTGCCTGATTTTTTGAGAATTGTTTCCTGAGGTAGACTTCGATCCAGCCCAGGTAGAAAAATGATACAAAAAATGTGGCTGGTTGATGTATCTAGACTGTGTAATTGTTATTTTGCATGATGTGTTGATGTATTCAGACTATTTAATTTTAAAGTTCCATGATATGAACTGCAACCAGGTAGAAAATAAAGCTGTACCAATACAGAAATATTAATTCTCCATGAGATGACAAGCAACCAATTAAAAGTTTAAGCCATAAAAATCACAAATGAGTCAGTAAGATAAAGTAGGCAATGCACTTAGATTCTACCTGGATAACTGATGCCTCCAGGTTGAAATTGATTTGTGAGAAAGGGGCTAACAAGAGCATATAATTTGTAGAGTATCTGCCTATCTCGATAAGGAAAAGCAAAAATAAAGCAATGTGTTCAAAGGATGCCCCCAAAAAGCTATTGACCTAGTGGTGAATAACTTTTCAAAGGAGGTCAGAGTACCTAATTGGGCTTACTGGGTGAGCAGGCACCAATTGCACAATGGAATTGGTGGCAAAAACAAGAGAAAGTTGTAGAAAATTGTTTGCCATAGCTCACAATTCTGCCAGTCCATCTGAAATAGCTGAAAAAAGTGCATTGACCTGGAGGTGAAAGTATTTGAGAGAGAGGTTCCAGTGAGTATTTGTTTGAGTCGTATGTGCTCCAGAGGGTACAGTCTCTCAATGCACCAAAGCATTATCTTTACACTACAATCAATACCCATTTTGCCCCAACAATAAATGGCAATTTGGGTGGGGGAAAATGGATCAATTTTCTGGCACTTTTTTCCAAAATGCCTCAGGAGTAGAAATTAGGCTAAACTGAGCTATTTTAGCCCAGAGATAGAAATTCATCAAACATTCCAAAATGAATTTTTAGCTCATTTGAGACATTTTTATTTTTTGGCTAAAATAGCTCATTTTAGCCTAATTTTTTACTCCTGAGTCATCTTGTAAAAAAAGTGCCAGAAAATTGATCTATTTTCCACCATCCAAATTGCCATTTTTCCTTGGGGCAAATCAGTATTGTTTGTAGTGTTATAGAGGTCCTTGTAACAAGAACAGGTATGTCATGGTGTCAGATTGTTGAGTTAACACCCACCTTCTCCTACTGGGAGTTTTATTTCTTACCAATTATTTATTCTTGTGAGTTTCTCTCCCTAGTTAATTTCCTCTATGGTTTCTCTTTATCGAATTGTTTCCTTCTTTTCCTGCATCAATATTTGTGAATTTGATCCTATCCATGTCCTTGATTGGTGAGTATGTTTCAAAAGCACTGTGGAATTGAGCGGGGAAAGTGACAAAAAATGGGATTGACCTAGAGGTGACAGGATTTGACAGGGAGGTCCTAGTAATTTTTGGATGAGTTGTATTTTCTCCAGAAGGCACACTGTGGCATTTGAGGAAACAGTATGGTTGATAATTTTCCTACAAGTCATTCATTGGCAAAAGTGCAGCTTAAGCTCAGTGAGTCACGTCTTGCCCTCTTCTATGTCTCTCTTTTTAATTTTTTATTGTGATGTGTTGAAATCATCAATTGATTGACTCCCTATGTTATTACTTTCCATGATTGTCTTTTATTCAACATTAATATCCATGATTTTAATTCTGTGAATCCCACATACACAGGGAATATAGCTGTCTTTCTTTCTAATCCGTGCCATTGATTTACTTTCTTTCTCATCCAAAATTAAAATAAAACATATTAATTTATCCCCATCAACCCTTGATCTGTGAATTCAAACATACAATGAATACAGTGTGCCAATCTTTCTCTTGAACAGCATTCCTAGATAATTAGCTGTAAAAGCAAAGGTGAATACTTGGACAAATCCCAAACAAGTAATTTTTCAAACCTCGTTCAACTACTTGTATAATCAGAGACAACATTACTGTGTTCAATAATTGAGCTCATTAATAATCAATATCTGCTAACTAATTGTAGATCATGGAAATAGGTGCCCTTTGGGCCCTGATGAGTTTTAATTGTTTTAGAGAACTGTGTTGCAATAGTTGTACTTGTGCTGTTGGGTTTTGATGTTATCCCTCCTGTGGGATATACCCAGTTCATTGCATTGTCTTGCCCTTGTATCACTTGTGATTAATAACAATCCAAAGAATATGCATGAAGTATTTACTTCAGGGCAGTTTTCTTTGCAATAATTCATACATGATGATTTCAATTTTATTTTTTCAGAAAGAGCAGAAAGGACAATTCATCGCAATATAAATATTCTTAACCCAGTCAATCCCTCATCTGTTGCTTGAAAATTTTTGGGAGTGGTTTTGCATCTTGTCTTATTTGTTGATTGTCTTTCCTTCTGACCTGTTATGGATATGTATTTATCTGTCCCTGGTAGACCATTGGTCATTGGGCCATTGCCTGATTTTTTGAAAATTAGAAAAATAATACAGAAAAGGTGGCTGGTTGATGTATCTAGAGTGTGTAATTTTTTGTTTCCATGATGTGTTGATGTATTCAGACTGTGTAATGTTTGTTTTCCATGAGATGAACTGCAACCAGGAAGAAAATGAAGCTGTACCAATACAAAAATATTAATTATCCATGATATAACAAGCAACCAATTAAAATTTCAAGCCATAACAATTACAAATGAGCAAGTAAGATGAAGTAGGCAGTGGAACCAGATTCTACCTTGATAGCTGGCACCTCTGGGTTGAAATAGATTTGCAAGAAAGCGGCTAGTAGGAGCATATAGTTTGTAGAGTATCTTTCTATCTTATAAAGTAAAAGGGAAAAATAAAGCAATGTGTTCAAAGGATGCACCAAAAAACTATTGACCTAGTGGTAAATTACTTTGAAAAGGAGGTCAGAGTGCCTATTTGAGCTCACTGGGTGAGAAGGCACCAATTGCACAACGGAATTGGTGGTAAAAACAAGAGGAAATTGTAGATAATTATTTGTCATAGCTCACACTTCTACCAGGCCATCTGAAATAGCTGAAAAAAGTGCACTGACCTAGAGGTGAAAGTATTTGAGAGAGAGGCTCCAGTGAGTATTTGGTTGAGTGGTATGTGCTCCAGAGGGTGCATTCTCTCAATTCACCAAAGAATTATTTTTCTAGAAGTCCTTGGAACAAGAACCGGTATTTCACGGTGTCAGATTGTTGAGATAATCTGGTGAGTTTCTCTCCCTGATTAATTGTCTCACTGGTGTCTCTTTATCTGATTGTTTTCTTTCTTTTCATGTATCAATATTTGTGAATTTAATCCTATCCATGTCCATCATTGGTGAGTATGTTTCAAAAGCATTGTGGAATTGAGCAGGGAAAGTGACAAAAAAAGCCCATTGACCTAGAGAGGATTTGACAGGGAGGTCCTAGTAATCTTTGGCTGAGTTGTATGTTCTCCAGAAGGCACACTGTGGCATATGAGGAAACAGTATGGTTAATAATTTTCCTACAAGTCATTGACAAAAGGGCAGCTGTGTAAGATCAGTGACACATGTCATGCCTTCTTCTACATCTCTCTTTCCATTCATTTTATTGTGAGCTTAACCCCTCAATTAATTGCCTTCCTATCACTTCACATTCCATGATTGTCTTTATCCATCATTAATATCCATGGTATTAATTCTGTCGATCCCAAATACACAACAAATATGTCTTTCTTTCTAATCACTGTCCATTGATTTACTCGCTTTCTCATCCAACAGTAAAATAATGTGTATTAATATATCTCTGTCAATCCTTGATCTGTGACTTCAAACATGCAATCAATACAGTGTGCCAATATTTCTTCTCTCCAAGCCCAGATAATTAGTTTTAAAATCAAAGGTGATTACTTGAGCAAATCACAAAGAGGTAATTTTTCAAACCTCAGCCAAGTACTTGTAAATTTGAGCTTATTCGTAATTAATATCTGCTAAATAATCAAAGATCTTGGCACTAGGTTCCCTTTGGGCCCTGTTGAGCTTTAATTGTTTTAGAGAACTGTGCTGCTCTGTTTTTACTTGTGCTGTCATGTTTTCATGTTATCTCCCCTGTGGGTTTTATACAGTTCATTGCATTGTCTTGCTCTTCTATCACTTAATTAATCACAATGCAAATAATTTGCATGCAGTATTTACTTCAGGACAGTTTTCTTTGCAGGAATTCATACATGATCCTTTCAATTTCCCTTTTTCAGAAAAAGAAGAAAGGGCAGTTCATCACAATATAGATATGATTAAACAGTCACATAATCAGAGGAAGAATGGGTACACCTTCCTGATTGATTATTTTCCTTTATTCTTAATTGTCATGATTATTTATTATCTCAACCCAGTCAATTCCTCATGTATTACTTGACAATGCATGTGAGTGGTTTCACTTGCTGTCTTGGTTGTTGATTGTCTTTCTTTGTGACATGTCAATGAAATGTATTCATTTATTCCTGGCTCTGAAGTCTTGTTCATGTGTAATTTTATAAAAAGACATTGAAGATACATTAATTTGGATTGTAGGGGCTAGTGCTAAAAGCCACATGCAATAATTTCTTGTGAAGCCCCAGGTGAGTACTTGTGCAAACAACATTCAAGTGTTTGTAAAAATCACAGACAAGTACTTTGAAAACTCATGCAGAATTGTATGTAAAAACCCAGAGACAAGTGGTTGTACATACCACATGTGAGTAATTTGAAAACCATCTGTTCTAGGACTCACTTTATTCTTGTTGAATATTTAACAGATAAGAATATTATATATGTGATATCTGTGTTTTATTTTCTTTCCTTCTCACACTACATTAATTGCAAGAGGCATTTTGGCTGAAACTCTATTCCAGAAAGCAGTGTTTATCTATTCACACTTGGCATTCGGTTTCTTGATGATCTCTCCTTCTTTTGATTGTCTTGTTTTGTTTTTCGTTTCACTTGTAATCAATGAGTCTCAAGCCAAAGATTGGTTTGGTTGCTGAGTGTCAAGATAGTCTGAATAATTTGCATACAATATATACTTCAGCTCTGTTTCCCTAGTAGTAATTTAGGAGAAAGAATCAGTATGACCAACTTAGGAAATATCTGTTCAATCAGATCATTCAAATAATTTGCATATGATACTTCAGGGCTGTTCTCTTTTCCCTAGCATTTATCATTTCAAGCCCAACAATCCTTCTTCTCCTTTATGTATGTAAATATTTTCCCTTTGTGTCTTAGTCTTTAATTGTCTGGTTTTGTAATGCATCATTAGAATTTATTTTATTATTGAGCAAAGAATTTCTGCAGTATTCTTCTCTCTTGATAAGTAAAAGGAAGAACAACACATTATGTTCAAAGGATGCCCCAAAAAGGCCATTGACCTAGTGATGAATTGCTTTCAAAAGAAGATCAGAAGCACTATATGGGCAGGCTGGGTGAGAAGCCACCAAAAGCACAGCAGCATTGGGGGGCAAAGAAAGGGAAAGCATAGGTAATTGTTTGGCATAGCTGACAATTCTCAGAATTGTCCCAGCAAGTTTCCCTCCTCAATTAATTGTCTTTCTTTGTTGATTCTTTCATGTATGAATTCATCCCTTTCAATTCTTCATCTGTCATATCAAACATCTGTTTAACATTATCCACACTTATTACTTGAACAAACCACAATATGGAGGTACTGAACAGCCATTTTGGCCAAAAAAAATGAAAACATGGGGATGAACCGCCACTTTGGCCAAATAACCGCCAAATGACGGCCCTGAACCGCCAGAATGGCCAAAGTGAAAATTGAATCTGACCGCCAAATTGGCCACCCATGCTCCTGAACCGACATGATTGCTCCTGGACCGCCAAACATGGCACTGATCCGCCAAATTAGCCATGTATCCAAGGGGTTTGTGACCTCGTCTCAACCCCTTGGACTCTACACGCCCCATCAATACACCCAGTCATCCATGGGACTGGGAGTACATCTCCCATGGATGATAAACACCCCCATCAAGGACTGTTTTCAACCAGTCCTTGATGGGGTAAGCCTTCCATCAAGGGCCGGTTTGGACCTTGATGGGAATAAACAACCCAATTGATGACCGGTTTTGACCGGTCATCAATGGAGGACACACTCCCATCAAGGACCGGTATTGACCGGTCCTTGATGGGAGGAAACAC